AAAAGTGGAAGAATGCACATGTATTACATTATGACAAGTTATACAATCTATTTGCTACTAACAGAGCATCAAAAAAATATACTAAAACTAGTAAGGAAAGGAATAAACAATGGGATAATGAGTGCATTGACTTGAATGATTCTTATGAAGATACAATAATACATGAAGCCAACATTAATTTCCAGTATGAGACTACAAACTCACCACCTAATACAGAGTGTAGTCTAATAAATAGAACATCAAACTAATCCATAGGTGCTACATTTGGCAAGGGACAAAAGCGTAAGGTAGTAATGATAGATATCTTTGAACAAATGTGTGAAAAGATAACAACATGAATGAAGGAACTAGCTGATGTCATACGAGATGGTAATGCTTTTTATGATAAATCTATTGTTGTTATTGAGAAACAAATTGAAATTGCTGAAAAAGGTTTTGGAATACTTGAAAAGAGTCGACTTTAACATTATAGTAAAGAGGAAGTATGGGCGGCACTTGAGGAAATAAACATTGCTGAAGACTAGAAGTTATCATGTTACTTCTTCTTGTGCAATAAAGAAAAAAGCAAGCGAACCTTTTTTGGAGTTCCATATTATCTACAACTGTAGACATTGTCCAAAATGATGATTGAAGCTATAATGTTTTTAAACAAGTACTGATATGATTACTAGATTTATGGTTTAAGAATGATAGACTTTTTTTATCATGATGTTTGTAGTATAACTATATTTTGATCATGAATCTTTGTTAAAGAAGTAGTATATTTTATTTTTAGATTAATAAGTCGAATGCTAATTCTAAATTTTCTAGTTAATTTTTAGTTAAGTACTTTATATTTGGTTGTAGTTTCAAATTTTAATATTATTTTATATTTAATAATTCAATAAATAAAATTTTAAATTGGAAAAATAATTTTTTTCTAGTATTGGATAAAATAAAATAATTTATAATTATGTTTTCATTCAATCAATAATATATGATAGAAATTATATATATATATAATATGTTAAAATATTAAATTTTATTATATATAAATATCTTTATAAATAATAAGGTTATTACTGTCTATATGAAATTAACAAATTGTCTCTCCTCTCTATTTTCTCTTGCCCAGCCAAGCACAATGACAAAAAATTGTATCCCCTAACTTTTCTCTCCTCCTCATTTTCTCTCGTCCTTTTCTTTCCTCTTTCTTTTCCCGTGCAAGCCAAACACAAAATTAGAGTTGGAAATAAGAATTAGGCTTTGCCTATCACCCATTTAAACCCATTTTTATAAGGGTTAGACATTGAAAAATGGTATATTTTTTTTAAAAAAATTGAGTTTTAAAACCAGATCCTAGAAAAAGGGTCTGAATGGCCCTTTTAGGCTTTTTTTGTCTTATCTATAAAAAAATAAAATGTTTTTAATTTTAAAATTGAATTCAAACTTTAAAATATATGTTTATACTCTAAAATTAAAATTTCTGTAATTTATTTTTAATTTTTGAATATTGTAATTTATATTTTAAAAAAATTAAAAATTTTATAATTAAAAAATTAAAAATAATAAAAAGGGCTTATGGGCTCCGCCCTAAGCCCTTTGAATAAGTTTTAAGTTTCATAAGTTAGTCATTTTATTGAAAATTAAGCTTAAGGGCTTGAACTTATAAGGGCGAGGCCTGCTTTATTTCTCAACTTTAGTTCCAATTCATTACATTGGAATTAATATTTTTAATGGAATTACTATGTAATGGATTTTTTTCACTGCTAGAGACATGTAGTCAAAATAAAGAGTGTGTTTGGTTCAATTCCTATAGAAGTTGTGATGCAACGCAATGCAATTTGAGAAATAAGAAGAGTACAAACAAATGAAATAAAAAAATTACAACAAACACCCTATTTTAGGTGAAAAAGAGTACTAAAAGAAGAGTTTTGAATCACATGCTAGGAAGTAACAATTGGAGAATCCCATGAGTTATTCGGAAATATCTTTAATTAAGATTCCTCCATTGCCATTCGATCCTTTCAAAACCTGTTGTTGGAGCAATTTCTTTTAGTGACCAACAAGACCAATTGGATGGTTAGGGAAGCTCCAATTGTCTATAAAGTTTTTGATCTAGCTTATACTAGCTCTTATTACCAATAAGAGGCTGGTATTATTCTCCTAGCTATCATCAAAGTGCACCCTTTATATCATACCACTTATTTTTACCTTCAAATTTCCTCTTCTTGTACTAGATCAACCATCCTGTGTGAGGATGTTGTTTGAAGAGGTGAAATGAATAATGTGGTAAAATATTAAGTTTTATTAGATGTTCTCTAGGGGTACTGTAGTGAAATTAAAATGCTAAAAGAAATTACCCGGCTTTCCCTATTGCAAGATAATTATTTGTTCATTACTTTAAGTTGTTTGTTTTCTTACATACTGTAATTCATTACCCTCCATTAAGTTATTTATTGCCTTACTGTCTAAAAATATCATTAATAAATAAACCACTTAATTATTCACTTTTAAGTGAGCCACTACTTTTTTTTTTAAATTTAAAGTGAGACACCTTATTAAGTATAGATATGAAAAGATGATAATAGTTTAAAGATGATTAATTAATTTATTGGAAATGCAATTTGATTAAAAATATGGTTAATATGCAATTTGAATCCTAAACTATAGGTCCAAGGACAATTTGAACCTTGAACTCATATTTGGTTCATTTTGAACATTGAAAAATTAAATATAGGATAATTTGGTCCTACCGTTATTTTAAAAGGTGGGGCCCACATATGCACTGACATGGTATAGAAGACTTGAGACCTCCCTCCTCTTCCTCTCTCTCCCTCTCCTTCTCTCTCTCTCAACGTAATCAATGAACAAATAGTTATCCTCAAGTCTAACATCTCTAGATTCTTTAGCTTGCAAACAGAATTTAGGTTAAATTTGAAATCATAAATCAAGTATGCCCTTAGGTACCTTAGATGAATCAATTTTTCTATCTTATTAAGTGTACCAAATTGGTACACCACCCTAAAATCCAGTACTCTTAGCATCTTAAAGCTCTTATGAAGACACTTCTTGCCATAGCAACCACATTTATCTTTTGGCCAAAAAATAACAATGACTAGGTAGAAAAAGAATCCAAATAAGCTATAGAAAGAAAAAAATGGGTACGCTACAGTAGATTGATAATTTTCTAAGCTTGCATGGCTCTCTTAGGTTGCTATCGATGTGAATTTTAAAGAACTTGTCCTCCTTGCTCTCATCAAAGCTGTTAGAGATGATCATGGTTGGTGATGAGGTTAGGGAGGCTGAAGAGGACATATGTGCGAGTCATGTGTCTAATGTGAAGGCCCTAGTATAAGAAGAGAAGGATTCATGATAGAGTAGCATCAATGTTGGTGGAGGTGATGTGTCTGACATAAGGTTCTTGGTGTGAGCCATGCATCTTATATGAGGATTCATGCATAGATGGGAGAGCCGGGGGGAGATATATATGGGTTTAAGCTAGAGCCCGGAATAAGGGTCTGGTTTGGAGATCTTGTTTAAATAAGAGTTTAGGCTTTAGAAATTAAATATTTTTAAAGCAACCATGCTTGAGGGCCCTGGCCTTAATAAGCCTTTTGAAAAAAGGCTAAAGCTCGAGCATCCTTTCAAGCCTTTATAAGCCGGAGTATCTTATGTATCTACACATACATATATATATTTGACTAATAATGACAAAATTTGGTTAATATTTATTATAGGTGATGAAGAAGAACTTACAGAGATAATTAACATTAAATTTCCACCTCTATCTTCAACAAGTAGACCTACATCTGAGGGATCTAATATTTTATTTTTAGATGATGATGAATTGACATTGATGAAGATTTTAATCTTCATCTTAAATTTTAAATCTTTGTCAAATTTTATATTGAATTTTATGTGAGACTTTAATTTATTTTATGTTGAATTTTAGAATATTCTGTTTAAATTAAAATGTTAGATTTTTTTAGAAAAGAGGGCTTAAGGGCCTAGCCCTGAGCCCTATAAATAAGGGCCAAGCCTTAGAATTAAGTTAAATTTTGGGTAATCGAGCTTTAGACCTTGAGCCCTTAGGGGTGGGGCTCGCCCTGATTCACACCTTTAGTTTGAGCTATATGCATCAAGTATTGAGATTGGTTGATAACACTCACTAGTAACATCGTTGTAATACCCTTCAATGCTCTGGCGAGCACGATGTACTTCATGGCTTCACCCAGTCCGTCCCTACTACATTGAAGGTGATGAAGAATGGCACATTGATGGTGTTGGTAGTTATTTGGGTTATCTTCGATGCGACTGGTGATGATGATGAAGGCAATGACAGTAATGTGGATGATAAAGGCTTTGGTGTTGATGAGGAAGAGTGAGAGGGGAGAGAGAGAGAGAGAGACAAAGAGTGAGGGAGGAGAGAGGCAAAGAGGTAAAGAGAGAAAATTTTGGGTCCCATATGCTTAAAGTAACAGCCATTATTTTTAAATTAATGATGAGGGTGAAATTATTTTAAATTTAATTGTTCATAATTTAAAATATATTAAATACAAGTTTAGGGTTCAAATCATTCTCAGATTTATAATTCAAAGTTTAAATTACATATTAATCCTTAAAAATATCTTTTCAAGGATAGTGGTGTAGAACATATCTCTTTCGGTCCTTTTTATAAGACACTTTTAAATGTTTTATGCATTTTAAGAAAAATTAATTTTTTTTTGATATCATAAAAAAATGAAATGTACTTTTATTCTTACCCTTAACTTTAAATAATAACACAACTATATTAAATATTTTTATGCTAATAAAAAAAGATAAGATTGGAAAAGTGATTTAATTATTTTTAAAAGATGTTTTATAAATAAGAGTAAAAGATTACAAAAAATTACTAATTACCTTGTTAGTTTCGGGCAAATTACACCTTAACGCACTTTTTTTGACCGACGTGTCCTTGTTTTTTTTTTTTTCCTGCTTTAGTCGCTTTCAACAATGGAGTCATTGAACTTGCTTCCCTCGGCTAGTCCAAAAAACGGAAGCGCGAGGCGACCTGCTATGGAGAAGTGGCAGCGCCCCTAAACCACGCAGAGCCCAGAGACCGCGATGAAGCATCTATTCGTACTCTTTGCTTCCATACTCTTATCATTCTTATCCACTCACTGCGCATCCACCGCTTCGGCCGAATGGCAGATCCTTACGAAGCAAAATTTCTCTTCTCAGATCCGACTTCATCCCCATATCCTTCTTCTCATCACTCTTCCCTGTAATCCCTATATTTCTCTTATTTTATTTGTTCCTGTTGATGCATTTGGTCGGTTCATATTTTCATGGAGATGTCGGGGCAAGGTGATAGCGGATTCTTAGTTAATACATTAGTTAGAAGTAAATTATATGTAGTTGATTTTCGGTCACGTTTGGATTCTCGTTACTGTTTGTCACTCTTTTGGTTGTTTCGAGTGTGGCCAGCTATAAGTGGCTCAAAGCTTGATGCCTTAATATGGATCTTTGCATGGTGCTTTAGTTTAATAGTGGCTTATGGAAAATGAGTCATTTTTTTAATTAGACATGCCAGTATTTCTACCGTTCTCAACTTCTGGGCCTACTTGAAACAATGCTTCAGAACTTATTTCGTAAGCCATGGAGAATGGATAACTTCGTAGACGGTAGCAAGGAGAATGGATAACTTCCTATATGGAATTCGTTAGTTGAAAGTGTAAATTCTTGCTGTCGATATGATTTAACTTGGGTAACTGGAAAATCACATCATGTGCAATATATCATCTTCTTAGCCATTCAATGCTTTAATACAAGTTTTCGTCCCTGTAGACCAAGCTCAACCTCGTTTGAGTATGACAAACTTTTCCTTTGATAACCTTTCATAAATAAGCCTTAAATGTCTGATTTATCTGATACGCATATATGTATCTTCCTTCGGCGATATTGAATGTTGCCCTGTTACTGAACTTATTCACATCGCAAAGACACAGTGAGCTAAAATTTGCATTTTACGCTTAAAAGAGTTATTGTAATTTCATTTGGTTACACATTATACTACCATGGACCTTAAGAATTGAGATGTCTAGAAACTGGTTTTTTTATACTAAATTTTTGGTGCTATGCAGTTCAGTTACAAAATTGATCTGCACCTGCAACTTTTTAACCATATGATATTAAATCACCAATTTAGCATGTGGAAGAATCACATTAAGGCCTTGCATCTTAAGTTGCGCAACTTTCTACATATCTTTGCTCTTTAATCTAGGCTCTTAAATATGACGATTCCTTTATCTTATAGCATCATGCATCAACGGTTACAACTGACCCTAGATAAATTAGACTGTATTTTGAAATTTATTTGTCCTTGAAGTTTCTGTTTTCAAGATTGTCTTGCATCCTATGTCAATAGGAATCTAGTCTGCGTGCATGAACTACAGGCATCGTCTAACTCTGAAGCATATTTGATTTCATTTTTAGTATTCCTTTACAGTTGGATATATTAGTAATGATAAGGAAGATGTTTTTTTTTTTTTTGGGCGGGGGGTGTTGGTTATCATGTCTGCTTACAAATTTCATATTAACATGTTTTGCATTTAGTAGAGTAATCCTAACGTATTTGATTTTCATTTTGAATTGCAGGGTCTGGTGAGTCTCGCACCCTTATGAAGGATATGGCACTTGTAATTGCTGGTAAAAGAGAAGACTTTGGTCCTCTAAAACTGAGATATATGCATAGAAATACAGAGAAGATGCTAGCAGATTCTATAGGTGCTCATACTGAAGAAATAACATTAGTTTACTTCCATTACTCTATGTCTTACAAGTATCGAGGAAGACTTAGAGCAAAAAATATATTGTCTTCACTGCATCCTTATATCACGAGTGCACCCGAGGAGGTTCCCCTAAAGGCTCTCAAGAATCCAAAAGAATTAAGAATGTTCCTTGATTCAACTGATAAGGCTCTAGTGCTCGTAGATTTTTGTGGATGGACTACAAAGTTGCTTGCAAAACGGAATGGAACAGAAAATAGTTATAGCTTGCATGGTAAGTCTAAATCATGGTGGCATGCATGACTCCAATAAAATTCAGTTTCATTAAGATGATTTAATCTTTTGATTGCTGCAGCTCTCATTTGATTAAAGTTTGAACGTGCTAATTTTTTGACTTGTATCTTTCAATTTGGCTATGATTGGTTTTTCTTTTTTTTTTTTTAAACTTTTATATGTATTGTGAATTGTTTGAAGAAGGGTCTGAGTCATGAATCTCTGTTCCTCTGCTGTAGTTTATTTTTCAACCAAAAAAAAAAGAGGCATACAAGCAAAGGTAATTAACCTAATCTGATTGGCTTAAGATTCCACATTTTTAGGCTATCAAACTAAAACAAGTTTAATGGAAAATACAATCTGATTTGACGGGCTGAAATGAAAGAAACAGGACCAGAAAGCAAGTTAAAAAAGAAAGAAAAGCCCAAAGGCAGAAATCCAGGATGATTCCAATGAAGAGCCCAAAATATATGATCACTAAAGGAGAACACATGATCTCCGACATATATGTCCGTTTGAGTTTCTTAATGGGTACTGGACTTGGATTTATTGCTTGGAATGTCCCATCTTTATGTGGTTCTTCTTTGTTTTCCTTTTTCCCTTCCACATGCTTGTTATTCGATGGTTATTTATTCTCTGTGACTCTGTTTTTATACTTCATTTCTATCTATTCATTAAATCTATTTTTATAAATTTTTTTTCTGCTTTTGCTATAGGGAGTTTCTGTTATATTTTCAAAGTGGTTTTATTGAATGGTTATGTTGCACAATGATTGATAATTTGATACAGTATAACTGAACAATTTTCTTGCAGGGGATAAATTTGGAGTGGGCTTTAGTGGAAAACATGATAGAACACCAGCATCGAGGGGGAAGAATCACCTGAAGGTGGCTGGTATTACCTGAATGCATGATGACATGAAACTTTTAAGCTAAAATTACTTATCCATTATGATACATTAATTATTAATTTGCCCTGTTTTTGTTTATTCTGCCAATTTACCAGGAGAGGATATGTGCAAAGCTGAACTCGGCATTAGTAATGGGTTTAATGGAGTTCCTTGGCTCGGGACATTCACCTCAATGAATGATAGTGTGTTGGAGGAGGCCAAGGAGATTAATTCTCATGTTCTACCTTCATGCACCCTACAAGAATTTGAACATTTTCACTCTTTCTTCTCAAAATTCATGATCTATGCGAGAGAATTCTTTCTGTCTCCAGAACGGCATAGGTTTGGTCTGGTCTCAGAAAGATCTATACTTTCATCCTTAGGTGTTGGAGATTCTGGTTCATGGTTTGCAGTTCACTACGTTGACGGATGTCCAAGCTGTTTGAAAGTTCTTAAAGAGGAGGATGACTTGAAGCATGCCTTACATTTGGATAATTATTTTGTCAAAGAGGTGAATGTTATATAACCTTACTAACTTTTATTTTGTTTCTACTTCCAGTTCCTGTGCTTCCCATTTTTTTTTTAAATTTTTGTACCACATTTAGTTTCAATTGCATCTCTGATTGTGTTTAGGGACTGTTTCACTTTTTATAATTGCACCACAATAGTATGCTTAAAATATAGATCCCAAGATCGGCAATTATGAAGTTATTCCTGTGCACTGCATCTCCAACATCTCAGGTAGATTTAATTCTATATCAGGATATTTGTGGTTACCAAATGTGAAATACACATGATAGAGTGAAACTAACTCTTAAAATAAGATAACTACCTATTATTATAAGTAAGTTAAAACAATTAAATAAATAAGATGGGAACTAAATAAAACTTCTTTACTCAATGATATCCCTCTCTATCACCAATAATCGACTGACAGTTCTTACTTTTGATGGTTTCCAACCTGGAGATTTGAACAAGGAAATTAATTTTCCTCTAATGAATAGGTGAAATCTATATGCTGTATTTTATCATGGTGTAGTGCCAATAATCTAACTTAGTACCTTCATGAATTTTTATATTGGATCATTTTTTTTCTTGTGCTCCTATACTAATCCTTCAAGAAGAAATTCCCTTTTTACATGATATTATGATCTAGAAACTTTGTTTTTATTTAACTTGATGAATTTGTAGATGGTTCTGTCATTGGAACAGAAGTCATATTCATTTTCCAGAACTGAACGGATACTTGACAACTCTATGCTGCTTGCTGTCATCGCCTTCTAGAAATTGAAGAAATGTTCTCTAATACCTTAAACATCATGGTTTAGTCGTGATTATCATTCATCTCAGCTTTCATAAGCTTAGCAAACCCTTGTTCACACACTACTTGGTGCTTTTGTTGCTGTATTGTTTCTTTGGTCATCAAAGTTAGTAAATCTTATATGGTGTCAATGGCTTCTCTTAGATTTATTGTGGGATAGGTTGGTTCCTTGCATTGGTTTTTTGAGACTTTCATTGACAAATATGCCGAGTGATTGGGGGGCTCTTTTTTAATGTTCTTTTTTGTTAACAAAAAATTTCCGTTACACTTAATAGGTCTTTCTTCTCTTGATTTTTCATATCTAAATATTTAACATATGCTTTATGAATTGAGTCCCTGAATAAAATTAAACCAGAGTCAAGACTCATTTACTTCAAGATTCAGTTATAGATGGTACCCAATACTCTTTCTGGTCTTTATTGTAGGACACTTTCAACTGTTTCACGCATCTTAAGAAAAGTTAATTTTTTTCTTCGTATCATAAAAAAGTGAGATGTACTTTCATTTTTATCCTTGGCTTTGAATAATAATACAATTACATTAAATACCTTTATGCTAATTAAGAAGGAGTAAAATTTGAAAGAGTGGTTTAATTATTACAAGGTGTTCTATATTTTGGACTAAAAATTATTTCTAGAAAGTGTCTTATAAATATTATCAAAGGGAGTATCTTTTAACTCCAGTGGTATGTAATTTTTTGTCAAAGGTGGCTCCAATGCATATTGTATTTTGCCCTGTTCAGTTTTCTTTTTCTAAGAAGTTAAAATAAAAAATTACTTATATGAATATAATGGTAACTAGTTGTATAATCATTATGTGGTTTTTGATGGAAGAGAAAAATTTAGTGAAGTGAAAGCAATCCAAAGATGAGGACAAGTCCTCACAACAACAAAAACAAGTCTTATCCCACTAGGTGGGGTTGGCTACATGAATTATATGATGTTATTGTGCTCTATCATTATTAAGCTTTTAAAAATGTTGTTAATTAAAATGTCTCGCTCAACCACCTCTAAAAGTGTTCTCTTCGGTCTTCTTCTACCCTTTTTGATAGGGCTTAAAGTCATCTGTTCCAGTCTCCTCATAGGTGCCTCCCATGGTCTTTTTTGTATATGTCTGAATCGTCCTAAACGATTTTCTATCATTTTTTTTCGTAAGGTGCTACGCTCACTTTTTCTCATATTCACTCATTTCGAATTTTGTCTTTATGTGTATATCCACATATTCATCTTAACATTCTCATTTCTGCTATTCCAACTTTATGCTCTTGTTGTCCCGTCAAAGCCCAACATTCACTACCATATAAAATTGCTCGTCTTATAGCAGTTCGATAAAACTTTCCTTTAAGTTTATCAGGTACTTTATGATCGCAATAATTCCTTTAACTTTTTTCCAATTAAACCACCCCGCGTATATCATATGTGTAATATCGTTTTCAATTTCCCCATTTTGTTGAATAATCACTCCCATATATCTAAACTTTTTCACTTGAGGTATGGTCTGATCACTTAATTTCACTTTCAAGTTACTGCTCACTGATCCCTTATCAAAATTACAATGTAAATATTCTGTTTTACTCCTACTCTAGCCGAAACCTTTTGACTCCTATGTCTTCCTCAATAACTCAAGTTTACAATTTATTTCTTCTCTTGTCTCTGCAATAAGAACTATATCATTTGCAAAAAGCATGCATTTAGGACAAGTCCTCACTAAACAATGAAAAAATTTACAGACCCAATAGCTTAGAATAACTTTCCAATCCTTTTGTAAATCCTTTAGCTTGAGGCCATTTTAATAAATTTTAGCATCTTAAAAAATTGAAGTATTGGATACATAGCCCTAGGTATGCCACCATAACACAAACATGCATGCTTCTTACACTTAACTATTCCATTGACTTGCAATTTCTTGTTTGTGATCATGTAGCTGGAAGGTAAAGGTCAAGATCAAGAGATTATTTTGCCCGCAAATAAGCCATCAGTACTTTTGTTTGTTGATAGATCATCTGATACATCTGAAACTAGAGGAAAAAGCAAAGAAGCCCTCAATGCTTTTAGAGAACTAGCACAACATTATCATGTTTTGAACCAAATAGGCAAGAAGGATGATGATAGTCCTGGAAAATTTTCAGTTCAAGATTATCAAAGCTTGAGTGCATCTGAACATCCTAGATTAAAGCTTTCTAAGACAGCTCAGAAGATTAAACTAAAGGAGAAGATGTCTACCATCATGGTTATAAATGAAGGCAAGCACGTTAGTTTGGACAAAGTATCTGCTGATCTTCAAGTGACTTCTTTGAATGAGATCCTCAGCTATCTTTTGCAGAAAAACAAGGATGGAAGATTAAGCTCCCTGGCAAAGGATTTAGGTTTCCAACTTTTATCTGATGATATTGACATCAAATCAATTCATGTACAACAATCCCATTCAGAAGTTCTGTCTAATCCAATGTCAGCAGAAACCTCTCATGCTGGCCATCAAGATGGTTCAAACCTGGATAATGACCCAAATTTGTTGAGTAGATCTACCGGAGACCCTGAAGAAAATTCCAAATTGACAGGGCTTTCTTCTCAAAATGATGAAGCGATAGCATTTCATATTGATTCAAGTAAAGAGATAAAATCTGCCAAGCCTGAAGGATCCTTAGTGAACCAAGAACTTCTAGTTATAAAAAATATGAAAGCAGAACAAGAGAGTTCATCGGATGGAGACAAGTCTAGGAAAGAACCCATTGCAGATCATGATGTTTCTGTTGTCAAAAATATGAAAATGGAAATAGAGGGTTTTTCAGATGGAGGCCAGTCTGGGAAAGAATCCAATGTGGATCATGAACTTTCTGGTGCTAAAATTTTGAAAGCAGAAACAGACTCTTATTCAGATGGGGACAAGTTTGGGGAAGAACTCGAACAATTTCTTGGTTTCAATGGTTTTTTTTTCTACTCTGAAGGTAATTATCAGTTACTTAAAGCTTTGACTGGGAATTCTAGAATTCCAACTTTGGTTATAGTTGATCCTGTACGGCAGCAACATTATATTTTCCCTGAAGATCAAAATTTCAACTTTCGTTCGCTAAGTGGATTTCTTTCTGGGTTTGTTAATGATACACTGCTTCCTTATCAGCAGTCTGAATGTGTTCTTCAAGGCCCAAGGGAAGCCACCCGTCCACCATTTGTTAATTTGGATTTTCATGAGGTGGATTCTTTGCCTAGGATTACAGCTCATACTTTCTCTGAACATGTCATTGGTTTCAACCACTCTGATAAAGATAATGCTTGGAATAAGGATGTCTTAGTCTTGTTTAGCTATAGTTGGTGTGGATATTGCCAGAGAATGGCAACAGTTGTTCGTGAAGTACATCGAGCCTTCAAGGGCTATATGGATATATTGAAAAGTGGATCTAGGAATACGAAATCTACTTCTGATCATGGTAAGGTTGTTGGCATGTGTATGCATACAGCTTCATTTGTTCCTAATAAAATTCTTTTTCAGGTGTTAGTTTTTAGAACTTTTTTTTAAAAGAACTAAAATAAAGGCCACTTTTGGCTGTATGAACTTATCTGTAGCTTCTGTTTCATCAATTTATATTACCACAGGATTAGGATGTTCAGTTTCTTTTTGAATTCTTTTCCCCCACAAACGATGGGGTTTTACTAGATCGGTTGCTAACTTGATCATGGAAAAGCAATGTGACTTTTAAATGATTTGTGTCTGAATCATTTACCTTTTCAAGAAACTCAATGATAGAGAATTTGAGGATTCAGTACTTCTCTTCCATTTGCTTAATTCTGATAATTTTGAAGATATACCTTTTTAATTCCTCAAAATTTCGCAGAGAGCGAAGCTTGAGAATTTTAAGAAGTGTAGGTTGAATACAATTTACAATGAAACATAATTGTTCAGCTGATTTAACTTCAATTCTTGATTAAATGGTTGATGCATTCTACAAAAGTTTGACATTGGATTATTTCATGGCAGAAAACTTGGATTATGATACGATAAAGCTTCCAGTGATCTACTTATTGGACTGTACATTGAATGACTGTGATTTGATATTAAAGTCTGTAACTCAGGTAGATGTGGGATGCCTTCCTTCGGATGTTTTTTGTTTTCCTAATCATGCTACTATCCCGGTCTTCCAGATTTCCTAATAATTCATGTATTTGGTTAGACATAGCAACACTGCATTGTTAACATGTGTAATTATGGGCGAGTTTCAAATGATGGATTTTTTCTGGGTATTTCCATTTAGTTAAAAGAGGGAAAATTGTACTTTTGGTCCTTATAGTTTTACTCAATTTTAATTTAGGAGAAAAAAGAACCGCTGTTAAGAAAAGCTAGTGATAGCAAGTTAGTCGTGAGAAGTTGCTATATGTTCAGCTTTTCCCAACCCTTCTAGTACTCCTCATGCATTTCAAACTCTATTGGCTATCTTAACTGAGAAATAATAAGAGGATGACAATGTAGCAACTTAAACGGTTATCCTAAAAGACTAGCGATTAATTTACTTAACCAGTTCTAATGATAAAAATCCAAGCATGTGCCAATGGAGGCAAGTCAATTAAATCCTAAACACACGTTGCTTCAAGCAGTCATGTGCTAACCAACAAATTTTAACGAGTAGTTATTGCTTATTTACATCAGTTTACTTTTATTACTAGGAGAAATCTGGTTATCATCTAGAATTTGACAGGGGATTACTTCAATTGCATTGCAAAAACAGTGATTACATTGATGTTGTTTAAAATTTCAAGCTCTAGTCTTATGGTTAGAGATGACAACAACAAGAAGTCTTATCCCACCAGGCGGGGTTGGTTATATATATTGTATGACGTCATTATGCTTTAAAATGTCAGAGAAACATGGAGAAAAAAAATGTAAATATTGTCTGTGTTATCTGGCAAATGGAATATATTGTATTGAAATACTCAATTGCATTGATTGCTAATTTGTATTAATTTGGTCTTTTGAAAACAAAAAGCCTTTCTTCTTTTTTCCTCTGGTTAATTTGACTTGGTGTGTTTCGAATATGCAGAGAGAAGTTTATCCTACTCTGGTTTTATTTCCAGCAGAAAAGAAGAAACCTCTACTCTATGAAGGAGCTATTGCAGTAATTGACGTAATGAAGTTTGTGGCTGAGCATGCAAGTTATTTTAACCATGCTATGAGTGATAAAGGTAATTTGATGTAGAACATTTTATTGCCGCGTGTTGTTTACCATAAATGAGCTTAACATATCAAATAATGCTTCTAACTCAATTACTCTTCTCATCCCTCACCGGAAGTCACTCCTCTTACTAGCTTGATACATTTTTTTTAATATTTATTCAATCAAATAGAAATACTGTACAAGCAGACAAAAGTCTCAAAGGAAGAACAAGAGAAACAAGCAGCAGCGAAGGAGACTCCGTTACATTAGGCCCACTAGCTTGATACATTCACTGTACATAAATGCTATAGTTGATATGCTAAGTTTATGCTCCTCTACTCCTCTCTTTTGACCATCACAGCAGAAAGTCCGAGATGGAATTTAAATGTTTCTAACTTGTCCACTTCACGTTTCCGGTGGCAGTTTTGTGGCTTCCTCCGAGGGGAGATAGGAATCAGAATCTGTATAGTACTGTGCCAACTGATGTTCACAAGGAATCACTATTTGCGAACGTCAAATATCATGGAGCCCAAGGTTGGGACAGGAACTTGGACGATGTGGTCAAACTCAACCTGTTGAAACCACCGGTGTCAGATGGACTGAATGACGGGTTGCCTCAAGTAATGATTGGTTCAGTGCTAATTGCTACAGAAAAGCTTTTGGGAAGTCAGCCATTTGATGGATCAAAGATTCTCATCGTGGCAGCTGATGAAATAAATGGTTTTCAAGGTCTTGTCATAAACAAGCATATAAAATGGAGCGCTCTACCTGAGCTAGGAGAAGGCTTTGAAATGCTGAAAGAGGCCCCACTGTCCTTTGGGGGTCCTGTTGTGAAAAGTGGAATGCCTTTTTTATCTTTGACCCGAAATGCTTTTGTAAATTCTTTACCAGAAATCCTCCCAGGAGTTTACTTCCTTGACCACCTTGCCACAATAAGTAAAATAGAAGAGATGAAATCGGTGGCCAATCAATCAATGATGGATCACTGGTTTTTCTTGGGGTACTCAAGTTGGAATTGGAATCAGTTGTTCAATGAGATGGCCCAAGGGGCATGGAACTTGAGTAAGGACGGAATGAAGCATTTGGTTTGGCCCTGAGGACCATTTCTTTACCGTATGTACTGCACTTTGTAGATTTCCTACAGCTGTAGAAATATTCCACAAATGCATGTACATCAGAAAATAGCATCCTAAATATGATTCATGAAGGCTTGAAGTGGCAATACTGGGAAGACATGTATTTGGTGTCTGATTCTTTAACAATGTAGGGGCAAGATGAGCAAAAAGTGTAGTTGCAAGATCATTTGAAATCTAGCTCAAACTTCAGTGATGAAAATGATAAATTAGCTGAGAAATTATTTAACATAATTGGAAATATAATTAATGGAAATTTCATTACAAGTTTTGGCAAAGCCTGCCATGTCTGTTGTTTTAAATTCTAGAGATGATTTTATACGTCTTATTGCATGCCTTGATTTATTTGAATGATGTGATTATGTAAGGTTTCTAACCGAAGTTCTTGTCAGTTACTTATGCTACTATAATTATGAGGGTTTTTATTTTGATTTCTTATGGAAACAAAACATTGATCACATTATTTAGGTCTTCACTGCAACAAAATAACTGTTTATGATACGTGTAACAAAACGACCTAGCTATTATAACTAATGTTTTCAAGAGTAAATTTTAGCACCATACAGAGAAAAACTACCACATAATTTTTGTGGTGATTCGCGCGTCATCTCATCACAGTTGCGGCCAAAAAATTATCGTATTGGAAATCGAGAGGCAACATTTTAATTTAACCATTTTCTTTATTAAAACATATCCCATCTAAAAGTAAAGAGCTCTTCCCGCTCTCACTTTTCTCAACCTAATATCCTAACGAATACATTTTGATTTCTTCAATATACCAAATAATTCCTCAAACTCTTACTAACATTAATTATTATAATGTAAATCCTCAAATCTTACTAACATTAATTATTATAATGAAAAAGTTGTAAAGTCTGGACCTCGCCATGCCAAAAATAATTATCTAGAACATCATTAATCGTCAGCTGATTATTATTTAGACCAATCAACCAGTCTGACTCGGTACAATGAAAAGGATAATACAAGATCAGGAAGAGAGCCCGCATTATTACAGACTCCTCGTACATGAAATTCCATAGAATTTAAAGCTACACAATCCACGCAAAGTGGCCTGGAAAATATATCTTTATAAGAGGCAAGGATGGCATTAAAGCTCTACAATGCTGAGGAAACAACTAGGGTCTCTCAATGTTCAAAATGTAAACTGATAAAACTATGTCGTCTAAACAAAGCGCTTAAGCCTTCCCCTCAATCACAAGTGGCAGTCATTATATATGCCCACCGTAACAAAAATTATCACAATACCAATTATATGTCAGCCGCAAGGAAGTTACCGGTCAATGTGACCTGCATAAAATTAATTAATGATGCAAAATCTGGAACAATATAGAACGGATCTTCTGAAGTTAGGATCCACGTGCGTGCGTGTATTGGATTTTATTATTTTTATTTTTTTTAGGGAAAGCCTTCTTCCTGATTAAGATAAATTGACCAAAATTCACAGGAGAGGATCTGTTCTTAACTCAAAAAATGACATAAGAAACTCAAAGAAGGCTAGAGAGTTGCAAGAGTACCTTTTCACCCAATTTGAATGGCGGAAGACCCTTGTAAGGGCAGGTGCTGCACCTGAAAGCATCCCCTAAACCACACTGCAGGTTAAAGACAATTGTAAGAGCAATGCCGACCATGGAAAACAACATGCGATGATTATTGATTCGAGTGTGACACATTAAGGATGAATTATTCCCAGAATTCGGATCATAAAGTTTGTCCATTAAGTGCAAGTCCGAATTGGATATTCCTCCATAATAAACAAACCAGAAACAGAATCATATATATATAAAACAAAACAAGAATTACTTCATTTTAACCCTCCTAAGCTTCTGTAGATCATCTGCACTAAACAAGCTATGTGACCAAAGAATTGACAAAATACCAAATCACCGGTCAGACTCAACTGAATTTATTCATCTCATACTCCAAAGACACAAATAAAATTAGCATTTTTTTAGCAGCACAGAAAATAAGACACCCCAAATTCCAATTTAAGGTGACATACACTGAAACAGAATTCTTTCCAAAAAAGACATACATTGCCACAAGCTGATTGAGGATTACTGATCTGTTCTGCAGTCAATCCTAACTTCAATACTTTCTCTTCTTCTTCAGCCCTCCCACAAGTGCAGTTTCTGCACGCTTTTCTCGTACTTCCAACTTCACAATCACCTGTTGCACGAGCTGTTACTAAATACAAGGGAATAAAACCAATAAATCAGCAACTGAAACTAGAGAAGTACTATTTACCAGTTGACAGTTGCGGTTTCTTTAAATCCTCTTCAGTCAAAAGACTATCTTCATCTATAAGGTCTGAATCATCATCAGTTTGCACTTTAGGTGGAGTCTTGACCGCCCTTTTTATGGCAAAAGAAGATCCAATTTTCCATGATGGCTTTTTTGCTTTAATCTATGTGCAATGCAATTATGCAAAACACGTTTACTGTTAGAATAGTAAGTTTCACAATGCATAAATTGTATTTTAGATATTTTTAAACCATAATACGTATCATTACAATCTGTGATTCAACTTATCCACAATAAGTTTCTATTCTGTCCTATTCTTGCATTAGAAACACACAAGTGAAAAATAACAATGAACATTGAATAAATTGAAGAAAAAGAAAACTAGAATGGCTAAAAATAAACTAACCCCAGAAGGCTTGATTTGTGATGAGATAGTTGAATTTAATTGAAAAATTTGTGTTTCTGAAAACCCTGCCAACAATAACTTGTGCTCAAGATCAGACATCATCTGCAAGATGAGATAAAATTGAAATCACTTACAACCAAAAGCAGAAATTATAAACCATAGCCATTTTACTTACCCGCCTAACCATACCCAACAACTTAAACGCATGGATTTTAATGGATCAACCCATGATTCACTATCAACCCAAGCCTCATCACTTCATTATTTAACCCACTCTCTTCCTCTCTCTTTTTAAGGCAAACTCTATGACCACAAGATATATCGTTTTAATATAAAACATTTAAAATCAATACCAATATAAAGTATAAAATCCACAACAAGAGGCACCGTTCACAAATTATGAACAATATGGCTTATTCCTCATACTCTGCAATATACAAGGAAACACGGATAGTGTATTAATATAAATATACCACACAAAAATATAAATAAAAATAAGAGGCAACATAAAATCTAGAACCATTTTAGAAAAACAAGGTTACAGTTTTTCTCCCAAAATTGATTCAATAAGTCACTCAATGAAAAATTAGAATACTGATTTTTATTAAGAAAATGAGATGGCAATAAATGATTGAAAGTGGAAAAAATGTATACAAATAAATGGATTAATGGGAGGTCTGGGTGCCTAGGCCTAGCCCTAATGAGTCATTAGTCATTAGTCAAATCGATCAAACCCAATAATTTTGCCAACAATAATCAACAAACAAAACATGATTCTTCCTAGGCACAATGAACCTGATTATTACCTTATCGACTGGACCCAAAGCAGGCTGAGAAGGCTTGCGAATAAGAGTTGACCCTCCTACTTTTAACACTCTCAGGATTTCTTGAACCAATTGATCAGAAGGACAATCAAGAGATTGCCAGATTAAAATTACAATGTCCATAGAGGAAGATTCTACTGGCAACTTGCCTGTTTTTGCCAAGAAAATTAGACAGAAAATTGGTTCCCCAGGCTACAAATAAAATATTATATAAGCACCAAAAAGCACTTTGAACAAGCCAAATTAGATGCAGGGAAAAGTGCAATTTCACCCTGAAAAGTTTGATTCCCTTGTCGGAAGCCTAGCTATGAATATTGTAATATACTTATTCCATCAAAGGGTACACATAAATTCTCACAATTGGCATAGGGAAACACCAGACCAAAAGAAAAAGAGAAGAAAAATAAATTATGCATACATGAAAGCACCAGTGGCCTCATTTAGCCAATTCGAAAGTCCATCGTGGACTCAGAACTCTTGTCATTCAAAAGTGCATGTTGTAGCGAGTGCTGGACTTGCAATCAATAATTATCATTTGATCGAATATCCTAATTCAATATATGAAAGCAGTTTAACTACAAAGCCTATGATTCTAACACTTGATTCTCTTGATGAGAGAACATTATCAAACTTTGGAAAGTGTTTTTTAAACGTTTTTTAAAGTCTATGCACCAACTTATAACTAGTCCAGGGGTAAGATTTAGTTTCTTACAAATAAAATTATAACCCGGGAAAATAAGAAAGTTAGTCATGGTGATATTTTTTCTTGGCCTGATAGTCATAATTATGAATCTCTCCTCCAAGGTCGTTGCATATCTGTTAGAAGACTAAGTTGTACTTGTAAAGCAAAGTAACTGTAAGCCTAACAAATACGTCATCAAAGAGAGAAAATTACTTAGAGACGATGCACGTGTGAGAACTAGAGGATCATAGTGTTCAACCCCTCCATTTCCAATTTCTCCAATCGAGTCAAACACAGCACTGACAGGAAGGACAACATCATCGGTACATGCCAGGACAGCAGCATTCGACTTTGTAGCATCCTACAAAATTCAAGACGCATAGTATGTCTAGCATCTTAAAATTTCAATGGAAAATTTATAGCAGGTGATGGAGTACGGAACTACTAAAAGAAATAAGACAAGAAAACATGTAGATTACAGAAGCTGAATCCATGTAAAAAGTAAATAGTTTCAAATGAGGCGTCATATCCCGACTGAATAAGTATAACAACATTAACTTGATGAAATCATAATCCAGACAAATAAATTTCAGAACTCAGATTTCCTTTGACAAAAAACCCAACTCGACACATGCAAACAAACGAAAAATATTTTAAAAGAAATAGTTACAAAGAAAAGACCAAACAAAACAAAGAAATGTAAGGAACATAGCATAGAAATGAAGAATTCATGCGTCGCCGAAAAACACACACCACGAATCACCTGTGACTGTGAATGAGTATGAGTTACAACAAAAAGTGAAATACAAGAATCAGCAAAGATATAAAGAGATAACAGGGGAGGAAGAACGAGAATGAACCATTGGAATCCAAAGTCGGAGCAGAGAGGAAGGGAGAGAGGTAGAGAGACCTAGAAGCTTCGGGTGGGAGTTGAGACTTGAGAGTACCGCTCAATATCATGAAAAAGGAGAAGGATCGCAATGGAATGAGAACGGGGCGGCATATTTTTCCCCTTGGCAATGGATCCGAATCTGGGTCCGGTCGGGGGAAGGATCCACTGCCCGTCTACCTAAGTCTCGGCCGTCAGATTAATCAGATGGCTTTATAATGTTAAATAAACTAATGAAATGAGAACAACTAATGGCCGCTAACTGTTTTCAATCCCGACCGTTTACAAGACACGTGTTCTCAGCATTACTTTGGACTCAGACCAACCAAACGGAGTAAAATTTGGAGGGCATACAAGATGCGCGTTCTCTGTGTTACTCTTCACTCACCTGGAAAGAAGAGATTGGATGGAAGTGTCCGGGACGGCAACTTTCTTGTTCCAGGTATAACTTCAAGATGAATAAAACAAGAGCCAAAACCTCCAAGGATATCTATGACTATAACAATACTCTATTTCAACAATACTCTATTTCGACAATTATCTATCACATAAAAAATTTTAAAATAAAATAAATTGTTTATATTGTTGATATGAACGTGGCTAATAAATCTCAAATTAGAATACTTTGTTGTTTAAATTTTAATTTATGTGATAACACTCAAATTAAATTTTAATCTGTAAAATATTATTTTATTATAAAATAAGAAAATTTTATTTAAATTTTGATTTTTATGGTGATAATATATCCTAAAATAATAAATTTTTCTTCATATTTTTAATATGTAAGGGATTATAAATTCTAAGGTAATTTATATGAAAATAAAATAAGTTGTTCATATTCTTAATATCCATAAAATAATGAATTTTTAAATAAAGTAAGTTGTTTTTACCAAATAGAAAAGAAACAAATTTTAAAACAGAACATGTATTTTAAAATTTTAATTTCCCTGGGTATAACAGTGTATGGAATAAATATTTTTTAAACAGATGGAATAAATATTTGTTTAATAAATTAATTGTTTCTTATACTTGAGTGTAATTCACACTATAAAATTTTCAAATAAAATATGTTGTTATATTTTTATATAAACAAAAAAATTTTTAATTTTATCTTCTAAAAATTACAAATTTAGAATAAAGAAAAAATAATTATGCATATTTTCTTTATTATATAATTATTTATTTATAATTGTCTACACAATTTTATTTTTCATTTTCTAAATACATACTCCCTCCGTTCAAAAATGTAAGACATTTTTTGAGAAATTAGATGTTAAAAAATATAAAATATTTTTAGTTTTTTGAGGTGTAATCATTACCTTTTTTTTAAAGTGCCCCTATTGATAATGACTTTATATTTATTATAGGATGTTTAATAAAGGTAAATTTAAAAAGATAGAATTAATTTAAAAGTAAATAATAATTTTATTGTGAATAAAATTTAATTAAAAATACCTTACATTTTTTAACGGAGTGAATATATTTTTTATGCAATTAAAAATTTAATTATTTAATATTTAACTCGTATTAATTTTCAATGTCTTCGTGTATTATAAGGAAGGAGTGTACAATTTTCAACCCTACTTGTTTAATTTTTTTAAGAAAATAAATTTATTAAGTCTCACCTCATCTCTCCTTCCCTGGATTTCATTCCAATGTCCTGTACATGGCATATGGTGTAAAATTTAATTTTTATTTTATTGTTAATAACTTGAAAATATTGAGCTCATGCATGCGATCTGTGTAATTCGGAAAGGATAGTCAGCAAGACCCAAAAAACAATAGCACAAATCACCAAAATACACTATACATATTTTTAAGCTTCTCAAACGCTCAGCCCCAGCCACATTGGAAAATAATTATTGACTGAGGATACATCACTACATGATGGGGGGAATCTCGTCAAAATGTATTTACACTCTGTATATTTATTCGGGTGCAAAAATGAACAACCCTCTCATATTTGTTTGAAACAATTTGGTGAAAACTATTTTCAGCATCTGAGAGGGGGCAAGAAAAATCTAGACTCCAGTGCAGGAAATGCATGTAGGTTTGTAGGACAACTCTTATGACAGATACAAAGCTTCCAAATAATCATCAATGTAGGCTAAGCTGGGCCAGTGATCTGTACGAATTCGAACCAAAGTTGAAACATCACAGACTTCCATTTGGAAAAGCAAATGAAACCTCGGAGGAAGAACTATTAAGACAAGAATAGAGCCCAAGTTTCGTTTTCTACCATTGCTAGCGCCACCCTTGGCATCCTCGTCGTTGTAAGTCAGGAAAAGTGGACCCATATCAGAATTAGCGACTGAAGTAGCCTCGTGGGATGCATCTGAAGTATCATCCCAGATGATGTTTTGGATGATACCGCCGCCCCTAACAATATCAATAAGAGGCTCCCCGGTCACACCCACAACAAAGCATGTCAGGTGGCGCTCAGTTGCCTGAACTAAAGAGGCTGCAGAGATATCAAGAAGCTTGACAGATCGAGTTCCACTGATGGCTGCAACTCCTTTGCTTCCTTTCAATGGAAAGGTCTCCCGCCCAGTGTTGGAGGACGTCCCACATGCCTCCCACAAAGCAGTGAACAAGTCTAATTTGTAGCGAGGTATTGCATCTTGTGCTACGTCTGGTGGAACAATGGCCTTTAAAAACATGTCCTCTATGCCTACAGTAATTCCTTGAAGCTGACCTTGAATGATCTGGCCGTTTTCTGCGTTAGTTTCAATGTGAACATCAACCACACCAGGTATTGGTTCCCTTGGCTCCAATTCGATCACCACTGAAGCTCTAAATTTATCCGCTTCTCTCGCACCATTTTCTACAGGAACAATGCTTAATGAGAGATTCTGAGATGCATCATTACCATAACGTTCACCAAGAAGAAAAGGTATGTGATAAGATGGAATGGACCCATATGGTGCCGAAGATGAGAATTTTAACACAGTAGCATAAATAGCAGGAAGGGCATCTATCTCTTCCACGGGTGAGGTAGTGGTATCAATTCCTAACATGCGGATGAAATTACTAGACTCAAGTCTCAAACTGCACTGTATTCTAACTCTGAGTCCTGGCATATATCTGAAGTCAGGAATGCAGGAAAAGTACTTCCTCAATGTGTTCAAAATCTCTGCAATTCTAGAATCCATCACGCGCAGTGGCTCTCGTGGTTGGCTAATTCTTCCCACTTCAGGAATAATCTCTGCACTAGAACTTTTGGCAGATTCATTTTCCTCAGCAGGGGCCTCACTGTCCTTGACACCCTCCAGGTAAGAAGGTTTGCTGTTGCTAACACCAAAACTTGACAATGACCAAAATTGTTTAACAAGCAAAGGGGTCACACGTTCAAGGTGAATGCAGGATGATAAGTTCCCAAATGTCTTGAATTTTTTAGAAAGTCGAGGTGACGGGACACTGTAAAAAGAAGTTGACTGTGAAGATGGTGAGATGCCAAGAATCAAGTCCCCAAGTTTCAAGATGTTTCTAAGCTTCTTCCCTGGAATGCAGATCAGCATACGCAAGTAGATTCTGAAAAAACAAGCAACAGAAAACATTAGAATAGGTGAGTGGCCATTTTGCAGGCCTTTGAATTTTTTTCAAGCTATTTTAAACTTCAAGAATGAAAGACGCCGAAAGGATATCGCACAACCACTACAACGACAAAGGGGGAAAACAATTATAAACAAAAATACCTCGCATTATCACGAACCTCCAAATCAGGATAATAGAGACAAGTAAAAGCAAGCATACGAGATAATCTAAGGAACAATCTGGAACTATGTTGGTGAATCAGCATGGTCCGACAAATCCCCAGAACCCTACTTCCATGGGACCAAGATTTCATTCCTGTATTTGGGCCATGTTTCTCCACAAGGAAAAACATGAAATTTGAGAGCAGCTCCAACAATCTGAGTGGAGGTATTGTTTCGTTTTCAGCAATTCTATCAAATAATGGGAAGTAAGAAACCAACTTATAATCCATTATCATTTTTGGAAGCAAATGCTCATCAAATTTCTGAAGTAAACGCTCTCCCAACCAAGAATGCTTTTTACAGGAGAGAAAACGATCAACAAAGGCAACAACAACAGGAACCAATCTCCAACTAACCAACATCATGTTCACAAGCATCCCCTGAAAAATGAAACTTCAATTTAATATTTCTAATTCAAAATTCACATACGAGAATGCAAATCCAAAGAGAATAAAAATGTTACTGTCATTCAAAAGAAACAAAAGAGCAATGACAATAACAATAGCATCCATTCCAATCATGTAGTATAAGCCGCAACATTTATTTTATAGAAGGAAAGATATGAACAAATCTTTGGGTATCTATTTTTAGACTGAGCCTCAGCCTGGTTCTTCTACCCATACTCCGTAAACTAACAGAAAGAGAATTGGAATTGATAAATTATGGTTGCTATCATTACCCAAAAGGGTGGAGGAAAGATTTGGAAACCACATTTCTCTTTAAATCACCAAAGGCATTAGGTAGAAAGTGAGGCGTGGGAGCTCAAAGGACACAGCCAAAATTTTGTGAAAAAAACCAACCTCGCTTATGATTATGTGGCCAAAAAGAAACATGGTAAAGCACTAATGGATATAGTGATTGAGTGTAATCTCTATGATTTTTAACTACCCTACCAGCATGGCTCATCAATAGGACTGGAGAAATACAATCAACCTGACCTAAACCAGCGAGGCTTTTTTTTCTTGTTAGGAAGAAAAATATTGACGGGAGGATGTACAAAAACGGAGGACACAAGATCCTTCCCAAACAAAAGAAAACAACACAGGCTCCAAGTCAAAAGTCAAAAGATGACAATCTATTTGAAGGTCCACCAGGGACATTGACCCAAAAGAAACCATTTGTAGAAACCCACCAGGAGTACATAAAAAGAATCCTCTCCCAAAGAAGACTTGATGGAAGGAATTGCTAATTAAACACCGTAGCATTTTGTCCTAACCAAAGACATCATAAACCAGCAAAAACTGCACGGTGACAGTAAACTTCATGCTTCTTTGACCTTCCAAAATTCACAAGCTTGATAGCTAGAAAAGCACTAAGATCAGCTGGACAAACCCATCTCTCATCAATAAATTCAGAAATACAATACACCCACTCCATATGAAATGTACTGAAACTGGTTAAATACCACAATACCATTTTTCCAGGATGCTGGAACTCAGTCATTTTACAACCTTATGTGTAATATTAACATATCTTCTTGGTAAAAAATAAAAATAAAACATATCTTCTATCATTGACATTACATGCAGAAAACAGACTCTAGTCTGGTTATATAATATAGTATCAAAATTAACAAAAACAAATTAAGCTACTGTTTCAAACACCCACCAGTTGCCTCTAAATTCACCACCAATTATTATTACTTCGAGAATCATAATATCTGATTTTTTAGGCGAAAAAGTACCGTTCAATATTTTCTGTCCTCCCTTCTGGCACATATGAATAACAAGTAGCAATAGCCCTGATATCCAACTAAATTGTACAAATAACCTGAAATTAAAGTATCCCAAACTTCAGCCAAAACTAATCAGCCCCAATGCTATCAAATCTCAAATGTCCGGTCATCATCTCACAGTATTCCATTTTCTTCTTATTTCAAAACAGCATCAAAATCTTGCAGAAAATTATCTCTAGCAATAAAATTCTACTTTAAAAGGGCATTATAATCACAGGGGAGAAAATTGGAAATTTTGGAGAACAGAATAGGGTAGAAAAATCAATACGAGGGGCAGTAGGCAAAACAAGGATAGAAATAGAATTACCTCCAAGGTACAAAATATTATGGAGTCTAACAGATATGTCGTTGTAGAAGGATCATAATCAGAATGAGATGACGCGCTTATCACAAATTTCTGCAAGGTACGGAACATGACAGCAGTCTCTGTACTCCCCGGAGGTAACCATTTGAAAGATGATACACATACAAGACCGTCTTGAAAGAGCTGTACTGGATTAACTGAGTCTACTTCCTCAGGTGAACTACCTTCTGATCTCAAGATATCAACGCATATTGAGCAAAATGCAAGAAGGTCAAGTTTCAACGTTTTCAAAGCAAGCGGATCAAATAAATTCGGATAAAAGGTCGAGCACATTTTGGTGACAGACCTAATTTTTCCAATTTGTTTACCGAAAATCAATTTACTGAAACCCAACAACCACTGAACAGCTAGCAATCGAAAGACCAAATAATGCTGTGCTTCTCTTGAAACTAACAAAAGCCTTCGGGAAATCTCTCCCTCTTGCCCATCAAAAGCATCTAAGAAATGCAAATACATCATCAAAACAACATGACATAGCATAGGGTCATACGAATAAATCATTCCAAAAAACTGCACCTTCAACATTGACGGCTGCAATTCCAAGGCCACTGCTACTGGCAATATCATTGCCATGAACTCCATCATCCCACAAGGGGTCATAACCTGCGGCCACTCTAGCAAGAAGGCCATCGCCCTCCTTAACTCCTTATAATTCAAACCTGAAATTTCCCTGTTCGGAGCCAGTAACCACTGGGGCACATTGAAAGGAACCATTGGTGTCGACGTATTCAAGATAGACAGATTTAATTTCTCAGCCACAATGTTATGTATGACGGATGTGAACAACAAAATGTAGCTCTGCGAAGCGTGGGTGCGCTCGTTTTGGCACAAGCCCCATAAATGTCCAACAATCTCCGAAAGAAGACAAGGATTTGCCCTCTCCAACTCCCTTAGACACTCGCAGGCAATGGCACGGGTATGCCGGTCCAACCCATGATTCGGGCGATTAATCACTGTCAACAACAATTCAACCAATCTCACTGTATATCTCGCTTCAAAGTTGCCAAATACATCTAGACAAATCAGGATCGATGTCGTGGAAACCATCAATTGTTCTCTAAAAGTGAAAGTGATGTGAACCCCATCCACGGGAGCTTGAATTACGATTCGAAGAGTATCGACGAGGCGATCGAGGAAGTGGGACTGGTGTTCATGGTCGAAGAAATAATCCGAAAATTCTTCAAGGAAAAGGAGGAGTTGAATCTTGAGAGGAAGAGGGACGTCCTTTCGGAGAAGGGCAGTGAGCAGGTGGTCAAGGAGAGAAGGTAATGGGTAAAGCGAGGTCCATTTGCGGCAACGAGGACCACCGCACTGGAAGTCGTCGATGAGGGTTTCCCAGTCGAGAGGGGAGAGAGGCTTCAACGGTGGCGGAGTTGGCTTCTCTGTCATGATTCATTCATTCGAGACGGACATCAATCAATACTTGACATTCGAAATCCAACAGAAATGCTCTCCACAGCAACTTTTGTTTTGGTTTTTGGAATCCGATATTCATTAACACAGTAACACACCATCGAGGTCGAGAAGACAGAATCATCATTGAAACGCAGTATATTGCCGAGTATAGAAAAACATGAACCGTCCGATCCGAAATAATCTTAGCCGTCCACTCAAATTATGGGTTTGGGATTTTTTTTTTTTTTGGCTTCATTTTCTATTTTTCTTCCATGCTGCCTCCGGCTGGAGAAATAGGATGGCAAGGGACGCGAGATGGACAGTCCATGAAAGTTCCTGAAATGTTGATTATGCATGGCAGTGGAGGATAGTAGATGGATTACAGCTCGTGTGGGCACTTGGCAACGAGCATACAATGATCTTAGTCGTACAAAATTCATCACTTTAACAAGGAGTTGGCAGCAATCTAATTGGGAGGGATCTATTCTCATAAAAAAGCTCTTTAAATTTTTATCCACAATAACAGAACGGATTTCTGTTAACAGAATAGGGAACTCCATTGCAATAGTCTGATTTCTATTAATAGTTTGATCCTCTTCAGGAAATTGATCATCTGGGTCAATTGATTTTATGTTTCTCATTTACATTTATGATATGTTAGTATATATTGGTTTGTAAGGTAGAAGATTGCGATCCAGGGAGATAAATGCCAGAAGCCTATGCTGTACGTTGCTGAGCTATGCAAGATCATCAAGAAGAGCCTGCTCTATGCATTTCTCTCTCAAGCAAGACATCGTCTAAAATGTGAAATTGTCTAGTCTCAAAAGGAGGCATTGTACACTGCAATGCGTGTAATGTAAAGAGTCTTCTATAGTTTGTAATGGAATGTCTTGTGTGCGAAATATTCCATGTTGCACATTTCAATATCAGTACTCATTCATCTTTTCAGTTAAGTAGTTTCCATTCCAATTAGGGAATTAATGTTCTCGTAGGAGGTGTAAGATGCTCGTATTCCGGCAGAAGAGAGCATTTATGCTTGAACACCATTCTTTTTACCTCTTCTCTTATTCAACCCCAAATCCATGCATAAGCACAAATACAACGTCTTCTATTCATTTCTAATTCTCATGTACATTAGCTCTCAAAAACAGCAGCAGCAGCAGACTAAATGGAGTGTTTGTGCTCACAAAGCAAATACAAGGCAATAAATCACATCTCCTAAGTTTTCTTTTCTCTACAATCTTTAACACCAACCACAAATATATAAACCATTATTCAGCTTGTTTGTGCTCAGTTTTTGACATCTTCAATATTGTAACTTGCTTTTGTCCAAGTGTACAGCATTGTCCCGGTTTTAAAGGGCATTTATGATTTACTCGCGCGCATAATTTTTTGTCAACATGCTTTAATGTCTATTGTACGCCCATGGTTCTAGATGAGTCAACCGGAAGAAAAACTGAACCTGTAACCAACATTCATTGCATCATTTAGCCTTCAGTCACCTATGGCCTTTAAAGAAAAAGATCATGTGCAAGTCAATAATCAAATTCTATGGAAAATTAACTGACTGACTAATAATATATTCTGTGAATAGATACAACCAAATGATCAGATAGACCCCATCACACAGGCAGAGCTATATGAAGCAATATGTAAATCCCCTCATTGATGGGACTCCAGCAATGACATGAAGTATAAGCCAATTAGGCCATAAAAAGCACTATTGGGAGCATCCATCTGAAAGGAATCAGATCAAGTACATCCGGCACTTTTAGAATGATACTTGCCTGCTCCAATATCAGCTTCCAGGGTAAAAGATGACTTCAACAGAAAAAGAAATTAAAACAAAAAATTATCTTCTCTCAACCGATCTCCTTGATTCCAGAGGAAGCTTTGCAGACTCTAGAGAGCTTCTACCTTTTGCATCATGCTTATCTTCCTTTGGATCATGAGCTGACTTTTTCCGCCGCAGCATATCCTCTGCATACCGGCGCCATAAAACTTCCCTTTCTTTTCTCGGAACCTTGTTATATCGTGGATCAGATTTTAGAAAATGTTTAGCAGTTGACCATGAATTATAAGCTGTTTTCCCATCGTTATTTTCTTGAGATGCTACTTCAGAATTCAGGACTTCAGTTAATAGAGCTCTGAACTCCTGCACGCAACGCTGGTCAAATCACAAGGATCATCTATATCAGAGTTTAGCACGCAAAAAAACTTCTTTTTTGAAGAACACCAAAAACGTTAAGACCACACATCTGCTAACTGACTAGATACATGCGTATACTGAATCTCGGAAATATGATGCAACGTGCTGTTGTTAAAACGACCTTCACATAGGCTAACAGTATGTGTAGGAGTCTCCCCTTAGACCAATAGTATGATTCATACATCATGAACGCAATTGTAAAATTAAATCACATGTCAAATGCAGCTCACATTTCAATCGACAACATTTAAAAAAATAGAAAATCCAGAACTAGTCATATTACATCTCAGTCTAGATTTCCAGGTGTAATTGTAACCCTCATTCATTCATTAATTTTGGAATTGTAAACCTTTATTAGCTTTCACCAACCGGGGAAAGGAAAGAGCAAGTAACTGATCACTTTCAATTTTACAAATAAAAAGGTATACATAAACACTCATCTATGGGATTAGAGATATGTCAATAGTATATCTTTACTAATATACAAAATCACCTTAATATGGATAAGTTCGATATATTTTATCATGACAGTAAGAGAATTCAAGAAGAAAGCAACAGTGACCAACATTTTGTAATTGACCGGAGTTAAACCACAACAATAAGTAGTCAACAGTCTTATCCCTTGGCATGTTCCTGTAAACCACGACCAATTTGGAGTTCATGATCTATTCCAATATGTATCCAAGTCTGTATCTTTAAATTAAGGAGGACGAGAAGACAAGGTTTTACAAATGTCAGATAAGGGTGTTACTAGGGGCTGAATCTCTCAAAAATCTCGACTTGGGTGCCAATAATTTCAGTGAGAGGGGAGGTAAAAATTTATCTGAAATGTTATATTGTGTGAGTTGAAGCCAATTATAAAATATTTTATATTGAAATTATTGATATAAAAATCAAGCCCACCAGAAATTTCCCTTTTCTTTTTTGGCTTCCAGCAGATTCTTTCCATTTCTCTTCTGCTTCTCAGCATATATTTTTCCTTTCCAAGTGTAATTTAATTAATTCTGTGCAACTATTTCCTATTTCATTTCTGCTGTTCTAGGGGAGTTGAGCCACACTCTTCTCTCCTCTCCCCTTCTCTCTCTAGAGAGAGAGAGAGTGATGCATGAATGCACGAGCGTGCCTTCAATCAGGAAGAGGTGCTTAGGAGAAAGCTACTTCCACAACTGAAATGACGTCTCAAACCAGCAAATCCTTGAGGCACTAGAATGTTGCAGATCACAGATATCCCAAAACAATTCCTCCTAGATTGGTATGGTTAATATGATTTTAGATCTTTTTTCATCATCAAAATTTTGTTCTTGACATCTCGGGGCATCTCTAGAGCTACCCAACTGAAGATCTCCAATTTCAAGTCTACATTTTACGGTGCGATAGTAACAAATCTCAAAGGAGTCAAGAAATACTTGCAGAAAGCAATGGATCTCAATCAGACAGCAGAGCAGGTTCACAATCCAGAACCATTATTCAGCCAATTATGCTATGCTTGGGTCTAACATGAGTCTGTTGTTCATAACTCTATTTTACTTGTATTTTGAGTTGGTTCTCCAAAATCTAGATTCCTTGTATGTATGGCTGAAATTTAGATAATGAAATTAACAACATTCATTATCTGGAAAAAGGTTCATAGCATGGATCAGCATAAGCTTCTGGGGAAAAATTAAATAGAGAAGAAATTGACATTTTGTTCACTAAATCTACAGAGGCTGTTGCTTTACATGCTCCAGCAACATGGGAAATCTGTAAGGAATAAAAGTGAAGATAGACATCACTTAACTAAGACGCTTCTAAAATTAGTATGCACGTTTAATCTCTAATTACAACATCCATCCACATATTCTCGTCTCAATATCAGAATTCTCCTCCTCACCAACGTAGACATTTTACTTGTCCAAGCTTCAACTTAAATGGAATTCATTAATCACAAAATAAAATAGAACACACAACATAGCCACAACACATTGCTATTCTGAGAAGCAACTACATTTGACTTACCTCCTGAAGCATCTTCACATGTTCCCGGAAGAGTTTCTCTGTGTCAGATGGATCTAGATCAGGATTAGTTGCACGGCCCTGAGGATCTTTTTCTAATTTAGGCTTTGATTCCGTCCATGATGCCTAAGAAATGATTATATTTTAATTAACGAGAAACTCAATATCTTCTTGACCACAGACCCAAAAAAGTTGAAGAAAATCGACATCTAACTTTGTAGGAACAAAAAAGTTTTATTCAGAACACCTTCCAAGTTGCTGAAGAGTCCAACTCAGTGCCCCATTTAATTTTTGTCTATCTTTTGTTTCAATTTTATTTTTTACATTGAGCCCTTGTTATCTCTTACTGGATGTAGAGAGTTGAAAATAAAAGAAAACAAGACAGCACAGCTGAAGCAATATTAATTTTGAGTAAAATTTAATCCTTGTAGGATTATGGAAAAAAGTTAAAAACACCCACAGTCCCATAAATATAGTTTTTATATACCTAAGATTGTCAGAACAGGAAGGAACAAAGTTTTTACCATGGGGTCTTTGATTGTCTCCACAAGTAAAGCCTGAAATGAAGTAACTGCCTCTTTTCTGCGAACTTTTAGTCGCACCCTCTCCATTTCTTGTTCTTGTCGTTCTTTTCTTTTGCGCAGCTCCCGCTCCCTCTCCTTCAGCTTATCCTGTAAATCAGTTTCTAGAGTTAAAAAACATTCTTTTTAATCAAAATGCAAGCACATAAGCATGAACTGCAATACATTCCTTTGTGAACTTAGAAGCCTGATTAATAAATAAGCCTCCTGAAGTAATTGAAACTGATATAAAGCCAGATAGATATCAAGGGGAGATCATTCTAAGAAACCTTAGCCACTGATGAGCTAAAATTTGCACAAAAAATACTTCAGAAAAATTGTTCAACACTATTTAGACACTTCAAACACAAAGAGAAGAAGCACGTATTGGGCCCCAGTGGAAAGCACAAGCAGATGGTAATCTGATGGAACCCTCTACTCTATTAAGCTTAAAAATAAGCAAAACCAGAAAATACACTGTAAATGTAACTAACAATTACTATTGCTGAACAATAGAGTGGGATTACAATCAAAATAAAGACTGAAGCTACACTGAGATGGCAATTACAGAGCATGAAACAACATAAACTATACCCTCTGAGCAGCAACACAAACACTGGTCCCTCACAAATACAAACTGAAGTAGAAAGATAAAATGATGAAGAAAAGATGATCTTCTCCACCCCTAATCAGGCATTCAAGAGGCCAGAACTCTCCTCACTTGACCACAATTCTCCAATAGTCCCTCCTCATCCCTCATCACGGAAATACATATTTAAAGAGTCAAAAAGTAGTCATTAACCCTACTGACACTACCCATAACCTAGGCTACACCTAACCTGACTTTTCTTTTATCATTTGAATCTTACAATTATAAACCTTCAAATAAACCTCTTGACCACTGGTCTTAGTCTTCTCTAAATCACCTCCCTGCCTAGATTGTCTACTGTAAGCCTTAGGAAATGACAGGAAAATCTTTTGGGAATCACCAGCTCTATCATAATTGCTACCGCATTTACTTGTTGATTTGTTTTCTCATAGATATAGCATGCTTACATACCTGCTCCTCCTTCTTGGCTTTGGTCTCTCTTTCTGCTGCTTGTTCTGCAGCTTTTAGTTCAGATATATACTCGTTGAATAAAACATCCCGATCCTCATGCCTCACAGATTTGTATCTTGGATCATTTCTTAAACTTTCTTTAACCTACAACCAAATGCCATAATATGTCTGTGAGAGAGAGAGAGAGATTGTGTACATATTACACTGAAAGGATTTAAACAATACAAAAGCGTTTAATGAGATGACGAGAGAATGAGAGCAGCCGGAGAGTAATGCCCATAGTTGAGATAGGATTGTATTGTTCTTATCATTTCTCTAAATTTTCTTCTTTTATAAAAAATATAACAGTAAAATGAAGGTAAAATGAACGTGACAGTGCAAACTGCAAAGCATTTAACTTGAATTTGACTCGGACAAGACCACTATGTCTTTGCAATAGATACAGATGAACAGATAAACACTCTTTCCTACCATCACATAGACAGAACATTTATTGCAGTTCTAGTTCTAGAAACTCCTGTCACTCATCAAGCAATACGTAGATTTAATACAACTGATATCTAACATACTAACTAATAGAAAATAACAGCCAAATCATCACGAGTAGACAAAATTACAACTGACAGCTCACTCTAATGTTTTTTTAATCATAAATGAATAATTCTATTCAGGATAACAATCTACAAAAACTAGCGGACAAAAATTAGCTGTAGGCATCACAAGCCAAAGATTCAATTTGCCCTATAACCATGCCAAAATGTTGCCTACTAAAGTGCATGACATTAGCTTTCAATTTCTGCAGTCTTCAGAACAAAATCCACCCAAGGAAAGTCATCTGAATGCTATTTGTAGATCATGAATACTAACAAATTGAATCTGATACAACATAGGCCGACAAATTTTATTTAAACATGAAAACAATGAATACAAGTGCTTTAGAAACCTGTCACAACACAAGGACATGTCGCAACTTATTCCAAGTTCCATACCCTTGACCAACGGGAATTAACAGTTATATCTCCTCGTTCCAGGAGCATCGACTTAAAACTGGCAGCAGCAGCTGCACGAATTGCTTGAGCCTTTTCTTCAGCTGCTTTCTTCAAGGGAAGTACTCTGAAACAAATATACCACGTCACCCAGTATGGCACTAATGCAACATTGACAAATATTAAACATTTACCAAGAAAATACAAAGAGTTTAAAAGAAAAGAGAACACTGGTGGCAAAATACCTACAAAACTTAAGCTTTATTGAACTGTCATAAGACCACCAATTTTATGGTAATGAAGGTTAAGTGTTGGAAGTGGACAAGGTTAAGTGTTGAAGGGACAAGAGCAAAAAATCAGAGTAGCAGGGATGAGGATGGTGAAATAGATATGTGGTCAGACAAACAGATAAGATTTATTATGACCTTATATGAGTATAAGTTGGCACAGGCGCAGCGCATCTATTGAAGAAAAAATAATAAAAAATATTTGATATCAAAAACCTTGGTGCTCTCAAATATTTTCTGGGTATAAAAGCAGCAAGATCTTCAAAAGCATTATGAAGAGAGTATAGGAAGAATGAGACAGAGAATGGGAGAAATGTAGTCAGTGAGTTCTGACTTACACATGCGGTTTGTTTATAGTGAGAGCCTAATACAATGTAATAACGGTTAATAACAAAAGAACAATCACAAAATAAAAAATACATAATCAACTCGCCTTAATTATATACAACAACAACAACAATAACAAGCCTTTATCCCACTAGGTGGGGTCGGCTACATGGATTACAAGATGCCATTGTGCTCTATCATTTACCAAACTTTTAAAAATATTATTAATTAAGAGATCGCGTTCAATAACTTCCAAGAGTATTCTCTTAGGCCTTCCTCTAACCCTTCTAACAGGACTCAAAGTTATATATTCCACTTTTCTCACTAGTGCCTCCCGTGGTTTTCTTTGTACATGCCCAAACCATCTCAAACGATTTTCTACCATTTTTTCCTCAATATGTACTACCCTTACTTTTTTGCATACGTGCTCATTTCAAATTTTATCTTTATGTGTATCTCCACACATCCATTGTAACATTCTCATCTCTGTTACTCCAACTTTATGTTCTTGCTATCCCATTAGAGCCCAGCATTCACTACTATATAACATAGCCGGTCTGATAGCAGTACAATAAAACTTTCCTTTAAGTTTATTAGGCGCCTTACAGTCACAAATACTCCTTTAGCTTTTCTCCAATTAAACCACCCAGTTTGAATCCTGTGTGTAATATCCCCACTAATTTCGCCATCATTTTGAATAATGGCTCCCTCTAAACTTTTCTACTCGAGGTATAATTTGATCTCCCAATTTCACTTCCAAATTGCTGTCGACTAATCTCTCACCAAAATTACAATATAAATATTCCGTTTTACTCCTATTCAGACGGAAACCTTTCAACTACAATGTCCTCTTCCATAACTCAAGTTTATAATTAATCTCTTCTCTTATCTATGCTACAAGAACTATATCACCTGCAAAGAACATACATTTGAGAATTTTCCCTTGAATATGTTCCGTCAAAACATTTAGGATCAAGTTAAACAAATAAGGACTCAAAGATGATCCCTAATATAGTCCAATCTTTATAAAAAAATCCTTCGTTTGACCACTAGACATTCTTATACTAGTTTTTACCCTCTCATACATATCTTGTATAACTTTAATATAAGCAATCCGTACTCCTTTCTTTTCCAAGGCTTTTCAAAACACTTCTCTTAGTGTACGGTCGTAAGTTTTTATTCAAATCAATAAAAACCATGTCTAAATCCTCATCTTGACAACAATACTTTTTCATTAATCTGCTTAGTAGATAAATCGCCTCTATAGTTGATCTACTTGGCATAAAACTAAACTGATTCTTAGAAATACTTGTCTCCAATCTCAACATATGCTCAATTACTTTCCTATGCCTTAATTATATACAATCAATCCAAATCCCATGGTAAATAGTCAATCAACCAAAATCCTCGTCTTAATCAACACTTCCCCTCAACCAGCATTTTATGGTCTTATGAGCCAAGAGGGTGCTCTTGATGCTTTAATGAGAACATTAATTAGTTGATTGTTGGAGTTGATGTGGCTAGCAGCAATGGTTCTAGATAAGATCTTTTTCAATGCGTCAAGGAAGCTTATCTACTTCAATCACATAAGACCTATCATTAGCTTTCCAGTGAGGGTTATTAGTCAACATGATTGATCCACTAAGGCCCACCTTGAAGTAGCCATGGAAATTGTGATGTGAAATTGACCTCTAGAAAAGGAAGTTGCATTCAACAAAGACATGCGAAGGAGTATTGAAACTTATTGTGATGCTAGTTGGGGAGTCTCTATAATTGAAAGAACAACCTAAAAGTAGTGAACACGTGTATAGGGAAATTAGGTTATGCAAAGAAGAAACAATCTATCATTGCAAGGAGTAGTATGATGGAGGCTTGGTAACATCAGATACAAGTTCCACCTTGAGTAGTATGGGATGCTCAATAGGGTATCTAAGTGAGTTGGTTCTCTCACCTGAACAGCTAACTTTTAGAGTAAGGTTTTTCATCTCCCTTAGGTATAGGGCTCTTGCACAAACAACTCATGAAGGTCTTTGGCTAAAAAGACTACACCAAGAGCTAAAAGTCAAGCCCTAGATGCCACGACAAGTCATTTGTGACAAAATGGCACACAACTCAATATAGCTAAGAACCCCATACAAAATGACTGTACAAAACATGTTGAGATTGATTGTCACTTCATCAAAGAAAAGATTCGCAATGGTCAAATTGACCTTCATCATATTGCCACAAAATTACAAGTGGTAAATGTGCTTACTAAGGCTTTAATTAGGGACCATTTTGAAGAACTTGAAATCAAATCGGGAACGATAAACATTTATTTCCTAGCTTAAGGGGTAGTGTTGGTCATAAGTGTGGCTAAGTTTTCCTTCCAATTCATAAATGGTACCCAAGAGTAGAGTGAATTGGAAGTTCACTAAATTTTCTTTTAAAACCTTTTCCCAATAAAATAGCAACATAGGTTTCTGCAAAACAAAGCACATACAAAGCACATAGAACAAAACCTTTTTTCGAGCTTTGTAATTATCAAAACAAAGTATATCCAACACTATCTAGGGCCAACGTTTGACCTAATCATGTCATTAATGACATAGTCATTGTCAATCAAATCATTAAGACATGATTAGCATCAAATCATGCCTTAATGACATAATATGATCCCTTTTAGGGCCCCAATGCTCTTTCTCTTAACACTGCTTTATGCTCATTTCCTCCTTTCCTTTTTTGTTATTTCCCTTTCATGTAGATTTCCCTTGCCTTCTTTTTCCCCCCCTTATTTCCAATGGCCAGCAAATCGTGTGGAGTTATGTGATGGCTTATGGGCTTAGGTTATGACCCAAAGTGTATTCAATCTTTGATCCAACAGCAAGAAAAATAAAATTGATACAGCCGCAATGCCTTTTTCTCTTCTTCCTCTTCCATCCAAAAACCATCACAAGAAACATCTTTGTTTCTTAAAGAGTTCTTTTTACTAAATGCTAAGAGATGAGTTGACTAAAAACAAACAAGGAGTCAATAACAACTCTGAAATAATACCAATAATAACATGTAACTAATACAAATAACTCAAATCAAAAGTGTAAGGATCAGTAACACCTTTCATTAAACAAGTGCTCTCGATCCTTGCGATCCAATGCCTCAAACCGTGGATCATTTCCCCATTTCTTTCGAAATGTTTGATAATCAGTGTTGTGATTGATATCCTGAAAATCAAATGTATTACCAGCATTCCAAAGTTCTAATTTCGAGGCAAATGTATTTCATAAAGAAGCCATATCAAGCATAAATGAGCTTAGATTGGATATGACATAAAACCTCAGAGGCTTCATCAAGTAACTGCTTAAATCCCTCTATTGCAGCCTTCTGAGCAGCACGTTTTTCCTTCCGTTCCTCCTCAGCACGGGTTTTAACATAATGCTCAAACAAGGACCTCCTCGCAGAATAACTTGGGATAGCCTGCAATGGCACAGTTTCTCTGCAATTAAAAACTCTGAAGATTGTCTCCCTAAAATAAATTTTTAAAACAAAACATAGAAAATGAAAACTGAAGGCAAATATAGAGTTAGGGTGAAAGAAATACTCTTCAGGAAAACATAAAAATATATCATCTAACTTTTGAATCCCACAGCAAGTCCATCAGAGGAATCTCACTAAAGATCAAGGAGCTCGAACCCATAGGAAGAACCCTATCCCCAAAATGGTGCAGGGAGAAACTGATGCAAGAGTCCAGCCCTAACAATAATAAAATACACCAAATTCTCCTAAAAATAACACGCTTAAGTTAAAAAACCCTGATTCTCTATTGTTCTCTCCTCTCCCTCCAACTCCTCAGAAGAAAATATATTGAATACAAAGTTAATAGCTTAACGCTCCAAAGTGCATGAAACAAATGTTTAAATCCTGATTAATTGGCAGAATATGGAATTGTAAACTCAACACATAACATTGAACACTCCGTACAAAAATAATAATTTAAGTTAATAAGACACCTAAAACATTCCAATCCCTAGAAAACCAATATCCAGTCTCGTCAAATCACAAGTACAAGGAATAAATAAAATCGATAACAATGCACCTTTTATTTCAGAAAATGTATGCAAAGCCTTATTTGAAACAATATATGCAACAGTCATGAAAATAAGCAAAAAGTAAAATCCTTAGTATATGAAATATTCCACATGGCACAAGACATGGAGAGTTTCACCTCAATCTAATAAATAGTTTCACCTCAATCTAATAAATGCAACCACTGGAGGAAAAACACCTTAATTTCATGAGACATCTTTCCCCATCTTTTTCGCTTTTGAACAAATCAATTAAGTAATAGAAGTAATGTCCACAGGAAATATTCCCACCACAAGGATATCAATCCAGAATCACATCAGATATAATGATACTGTGTGATATAATAATGATAACAGTTAAGAAAATTACAACAAAAACAATATATATATATATATATATATCTCTACCAGTCATTGTTAAGAACATGCACAAACAGCCTGGTTACAAGAGTTCCAGGTGAAGGAAGGGCCAATAATTCCCAAATGAATTAATCTGTAAAGACTCAACAAACCTTAAAACGTGGATCAAATACTATCTTTGGTAATTCTTTCTCCCACTTTGAGAACGGTGCCACTCCTCGCTCCTTAAGCATCTCCTATAAAATTAATAGGAAGAAATCAACAAACAACTTCACATGGTCACATTTTCAAAAGGCACATCCAAAAATGCATCCTGCTATAATTGTTCCACGCAGAATGTGTTGAAATAAACCTGAAGCATACACTTGAAAATGGAATTCAGTCCTAGTTAGCTATCTCTTAGATTTACAGATATACTGCGATGAAGATAGGAAGGTTCAAACCCAAGTTTTCATATTTTCAATAGAAGGCTAATGATCAATAACAAAGGATGAAAAAACAAAAGAAATAGATGGGACATATAGGAAGGACAGAGAACAGAGACGAGGCAAAAGAAAATCTCAAATCCATTTCGCAGCAGACAATATTATGTAGCTAAATGATGATCTATCATGAAATATTGCAATAGGATAAGATTGACCTGCCCAAAAACAGGAACAAATATTTTAACCCTAAAAGAACAACAAAGGTACCTTGAATTGAATGATACGCTCCTCCTTTGAAGGTCCCTTAACTTCGTCTTCTGAATCTGATGACGTGTCAGATATATTAGCATCACCATTAGGATCCTTTTGTTTATCTTTGTGGTTCTCACATTGTAGGCCCTTAGCAGTAGATTCAGGTGCTTTTGAACTATTGGATTCAGATAGCGTTGGTCCTAATGGTGTTGGAATAGCAGGGGGACTAACAGGAGTTCCTGATTCCTGTAATTTCTTCTTGATCAAATCCAATGCCGATGATGAACCCTGTGAACTAGAGGACTTCAAAGCTGCAGCATCACGACCACCAGTATTAATAGCAGGAGCATTCAAAGTAACCATTCCTGATCCTTTTTCAGACAATACATTAGTATTCGGAACTGACATTAAATTTTCTTTAGTAGCATCACCATTCTGCTTCTTTTTCAATTCAGTCACTTCACTTGGGATTTGCCAGCAACTTGTCTAAAAAAAGAAGCCATAGGATGGTATTAAGATCTACATATGAATTATTAACAGTTTCTATGTGCACGTATATATAAAATATACATATATATTCAACTTACGTTGCCACTATGGTCGAGTAACAAGCCAGAAAGTTCACTCATCAAATGAATATAGAGACAGGAAATTTAGTTCTAGAGATAGAAAACTGTGTTAAAAGAAAGGGAATGACAATTACAAGTAGATTTCAATGGTTGTGCAGCCCCCCCTCTCCCAAAAAAAAAATGTTGTAAGAGGGAGATTCCAATGTTGTTCACTTCCTGCTGAAAAAGTGGGGGTCTAATGAAAGAAATATAAAAATTCATGTGATTAAGAAAGAATCAAAAATAAAATATTTTTGTCCTTGCAGTGTGGCGTCTTATTGGCATACCACATCTGACACAGTCTCACTTGAAGAAACCAAAAGGAGAGCATCCTCCATGAACATACTGCAATAATTGAACCAGCTACTGTTGAACCTCACTTCAACCAATCCAAAGGCAATATTTACAGAGTATTACTTTATTTGACCATGTTCAATAAGTACCCATAGTATCATGGACATCAATACTTTCCTTGGTGCCAAAGATTGACAATTTTAGTTGGACACCTTACAGTCACCTTCAGAAGGCCCATCGGTTATTGACTCAGGCACATCTAATTATATTTATGGTAACAAGCATCACTATTCTGGTAATAATTTGGAATTGGGCTTTTATGCTTTGAGCGCCCATTATTCCTTTTTCTCCTAGGGTTTTTAGATATCATCATCATCATCATCATCTTAGTCAGCTTTATCTTTTAAGATTCAGATTAGTATCTTATCATTTATTTTATTTTATTGAGAGCGGATTTTATGCGATTGTATCAATCTCTCTCCCTCTATATGTATCAAACAGTTCTGTTGAATGAGAATAAGCGACTGCACTGTATTCTCTCAAATAATGCTATTGTTCACAAATTTGGGATGGCTTTCCACTACAGATATATTAGAGTTCTACTGACTTGCTTCTCATAGTTGCTGCATATAATTGGAGGTTTATGCAGTGTGAAATATAGAAATAACAGAGAAGGGGAAAGCATCAAGGCTTTACATCTAAAGATTGAGCTCAGTTTTCAACATGAATCACACCTTAGTTCGGTTGTTGTAGTAATATTTTTTCCCATCGCCCGTGGTAACCAGCACCCAATCAGTACCAGGCAAATTGACCCTGTTACCAGGAAACACAATAAAAACACAAGACAACGTTACAAATATTTGTTGCCTCATAATGAAAGCTTTAGGGACCCAAGAAAAAACGCAGGAAAATTGGAAAGCTTCCTCATTAAAACAAAAGCTAGATACTAGATAGATATGAGACAGACAGACAGACAAAAATTCATGTAAAGGTAAAAACAGAAAAATCACCTGAACATGAAAAAAAGATGATCTCATAAATGCCCTCTCTATAACAAGGCACGTTCCCAAAGATCAATTTATTCAAAGTGTATTTTATATGTCAGTCCAACATTAGTGATTATGAGCACACCCCTAATTTTTCACAAGCCATCAAGCCCTTCCATGCCTGTAAATCCAAATTCTGATGTTGTAAAAGATAAAACTATCTCAAGAAAAATTTAGCTACAGATCATTTCACGGTCCTCATGAGCTTCCTTGTATATCATAACATGTAGAACTTAGCGTCAATGTATTAATACCACTCAGCTGACAATAGAAGGAAAGTATATCCATTCTATGCATGTATGAAGAGTCACTTGCAAGTAAAAAACATCTTCAAATGCATTATAAGCATTTTAGATCTTAAAGATCACATGCCGGAAAAAATCACAACGCTCAAAGAATATACAAAAAGCTTCTATCTTCCAAGCTGGTACTGGATCTTGATGTGAACAAACAGCCAATGCTCACTATTAGGTTATGAAGCGTGGCATGATGAAAATAAGAGGACCATTATGAGAGAACAGTCACTCTCAAGTAAAAGGAAAACTGCTAAGAGAATTAACAGGTTTATCTTGGATAACATCTTAGAACAATATCTTCCTAAAATCATGAGTGACATGTAGACTTGGGGAAGCCACTAAACCAACTGATTGTTGTTAGCTTTCGAGTTCGTGAATGGTAACTGTTGGAACATTGATGAAATATAAGAATTAATATATCTTGAAGAAACCTCCTACAGGAAAAACCTAGGCTAGTAGCTTATTATCATTGTATTTTGCATGTAAGAAACCTATCTAGGAAAAAGTTACTTTTGTGTTATTTTAATACTTTTGTAAAAAGGGAAATCTGAACATTTACTTTATCTAGCAAAGTTATTAAGGTTTCCTTAATTAATAGGTAGGAAAGTTTAGTTTAAATAAATTAGGCTTTGCTCTTGTAATTTACAATGCGATGAATGTAATATTTGATTGAGATTTCTGATAGCTCTTGTCTCCCTCTGCATTTCTGCCTCTCCCTCTCGTGCTCCCCCAACTGTTCTGTTCTTCAATCTCATTTCTCCCTCTCTCGGTTTCTATTTCTCCCTACTCTCTCGCTCTGTCCAGCAGTGTGCAAGTGTATGTTACATATACATGATGTAATCTACATTCATTATTGTTGGAATGCTATACATGATGTAATCGTTGGCTTTTGAGCTCCATCCCACCCATGTCCTACTATCTATCCACACTCAAAAAAATAAAAAAACTAATTCTAACTTATATACTACTGTGATTCCCACATCACGACTATCAGTTCTTTTTCTCATCACACGACCACTCCATCATCCTCAGAGGGTCCTGCCAGACCCATGAAGTCTGGTCACCAAATGAACAAACAAACGCTGCCACACTTGGCAACTGCAGCCACACTCTGGCTCCAAGGGCTGGCAAGTGAGGGCACAAGACAAGACTTTCCAAAAAATCCATTTCCAGACTTGGTTGTCGTCTTCTCCTCTCTCCATGCCCATATCCTAAAATTTCAAAATTGTTCATACAGATATAGATCATATTGTATGGTGCTACTTAGGTTTTCTTCCTAAAAAAGGTCTTTGCTAATTGAGGTGCATTCTATGCTAAAGAGCTCTAAAGTCTAAAGTACGGTCATAAATGGATTGCTATTCAATGATTAAAAACATTTAGGCTTTACCAATACACAACTGCCTCATTTCTCAGTCAAGTTACCAGAGCTTTTACCTATAGTTAAAGAACAGTCAGCAATTGCAATACTAGAAGCAATATTTCTGTTGCCGTGGATTCTGCAACCATGTCAAGTCACAGTTGCAGTCCACATCTTCACAAAATCACCATCATTAAAATGCAACCATAACTCAAAATGTCCATAACTTACAATCAGCTTATCACACACCTCAAAACAGTTATATTACTTGGCGCTTTTTAAATGAAAGAATCAGAAGACACTTCCAAATGCCTCCAACAAGAACTAGGATCAGAAAAGTTAAATAAATAACCGCATATTGGAGACACAAAACAAAATTAAAAGAAACAGTACAGAAAAGCATTATACAAGAGCTATGAACTTACATTGAAGCTGGAGTTGGCTGCACAGAAACTCTATCGGGCTGCATAAGAAATTCAAAACATAAATAAATTAAAAATACATCGATCCAGCAAAGAAACAAGAATTATACAAGAAAAATTTACCTATAGTATATAAATATGTGAATATCAAAGAGTTGGATAATCATCTCTGTCAAATAAATATAGTAACAGACACAAGTCTCCAAATAATCCCTAAAGATTAGAGAGATCTGATCTAACTTATTTGAATCTAAGATTCTAAACAATAAAATAAAAAAAAACAAAAAGATATTATAACAAAATGAATGAATGAAAGAAAGAAAAACAACTATGAAATTAATAGACTATTTAAATGCCAGAAATTCCGGCAGAAACTGTGAATGCAAAAGAGATGACCTCAGGAAAATATCTACTAATGATATGTATCAGTACCTCCCCCTTAAAGCCAGCAGGTTTATCATAGGTAGATTCTCCTGTCAAGGAATTATAATAGTAAACAATGTCTCCTTCAGTTTTATGGGCAGTCCAGGCATCTAGTTGATCATTAACGGCATTGTTGCTGTGAGTACCAGTGGCATTCAATTTTTGCTTGTCATCTGTGCACAAAACAAAGAAGTACAAATGAAAAGGATATGATTGCAAAATAACATGAGCTAATACATCATGCATATCAGTGTAGTATTAATAATGCAGTGAGCATACCAGAATGTCCCACCACTGCTTCTGTCTGCAAATCAGCAGTTCCCCTTGGCTGATGTACTGAAGAAGATGAAGTGGCACCAGTAGCTCCCACAGGAGTAACACCAGGAGGTTGAGAATCAGGTACTGGAACAGCTGGGACAGTAACACCATGTGCTGGAAATGGAAAGGGAACAGGATAAGCGGCAGCATATGGAAGAAGTGGTGGCCTAGGTACACCACCCATCTGTGGGGCCTGTAACCAAAGCCCTTGAGAAGCAGCCATGGAAGGTATGGATGGATAGGTTGAGCCCATATGGGGGCCAACAGGATTTGAAGCAATGGCCACAGTTGGCATATTTTGTCTAGGTGCCGAGGATGAGCAAGAATCTGTGTTTGTTAGTGGAGCAGCTGGGTTGGAGGATGTTGACGAAGCTGAAGCCAATCCAGGAGGACCAGGAGTTCCTGGTGCTCCAGGCATTATGTGATGTACAGGAAAAGATGGAGTAGGTGGCATCCAAGAAGCAGCAGCACGGTAGTTAGAATCTGGCAATACAGACATTGCGGATATAGAAGTGTGAGCAGAAGCAGAATGTGGAATGCTAAAGGCCGATGATGCTTTGCCAACATCCTGTGCAACAGAATCTGACTTGTTCTGCAATAGACAGATGAAGCTATTGGTAGAGGTAACTATTTGATACCAAAGTTCATCAGCCAATGTTAGAATTTCAAAATAAGGTGGTTGATTGGCAACAAGAGGGGAAAAGACTAGGTGCTAATGGATTTTGTGTGCAATTGTACTATCCTTGTTTCTATAAGAACTTTCCACGTTTTATGCAGTTGCAAATGAACAATGTATGCTACTGAATTGTTAAGCCAATTCGCAGATTCCCTCTGACATTTCACTCTGACAGGTTAAGATTAATTTCTCCAAATGATTATCTGTCAAAGACACTACTTGATGGGGGCATTCTCAGGACCCAACAACCAACCAATAAAGTGGTAGCAAGTTGGTCAATTTCAATTTTGAAGCATCAATAATTTCAACTTGTATAGATAATTCTCAAAAGAGAGGAACAACCAGTCCAGGAACAAGCTTCGACTATTGAAGCTAGCTCATCACCAGACAGGATCTCATGTTAATAAAGTGTACAAGCCTTACTGTGCTAGATTGTAAATGCTGGTTGCTAGGAAATTGAACACTTTGGGAGATATTATATGAGAATGAAGGTGCAGCAAATGAAGGGAGGCCAGGAACTGGAGGTTGACCAACCATTGGAAGTGCAGCAGAATTCATCACCTTCATTGAAAGACAAATAACAAAACTAACTAAAACATTATAGTGTTCAGGCATTTCTGCAATTAGAGTCCAATAACAAATATCAAATACATAACAAAAACAACAACAACATGCTGCCAATATGGACAAACAAATATATCTGTACTAATAGAATGAATTAATACCAGCTGAGAATTCCCGGATGTGTTCAGGTTCTGATGCACACCATGAGGGACTGGTTGCACTGGAATAAACAACCCAGCTGCATTAATGAATTTTGAATAAGCAGGATTTTGCATTGATTCACGTGTGTCACAATTTAAACCCTTTAATATGCATGTATAAATACCTGCAACAGGAGGTGTAGAAGCAGAATTTGAAGTTGAAGCCATAGATATTTCTCCAGAAGTTTGGCCAGATACAGGAATTTGAGTAACTGGCGGACGTGCTTCCTGAGCAAACCAAGCTGGTGATGCCATTACTTATCTGCGCAATAAGAAATCCAAAACAAAATATGTATAAAAGATTCAGTTCATACAGTGTGCAAGATTCGGAAAAACACAACTCCCAGGTTTTGATCTGTAGAATGCTACAAAAAAATTGAATAAACAAGTAAATATAAAATAATATTGCATAATACAAGAGGAATTTTACTTTGGAAAAACAAAAGGCTAATATATCCATACCAACATGATCCCTCGCGCTAGGAAGCCAGCAAACTTTAGGAACTGTATCCCTTTACTTAATTAGAACATAAAACAGAAGTAGCTTACAACTAGCATTCAACATTAGGTGGCCCATTCAGTACACAAAATGGAATAAAAAATGACCTTATAGATGAAACATATCCCTCATGCCTCTAAAAATGACCTAATATGAGTATTTTAGCACTAGGATTTGAGATAGGAAGTAAACCCACCAGCAGCAATGTCAGTTTTTTTTGGTGATGAGGTTGGTCTAGATGAGGTTGGAAACCAGTTCATGATGAGGTAACATTATAAAATGCTAAACGAGATCAGATAAGAAATTGAAAGGAGATTTAAGCAGAAAATTGGTGGAAATTTTCAGTTCCTGGTTGCCTGAAATTTGTTATATGAAATTGCTTCTGAAATTTATATTTTGTGAACGAGATATGAATTTTGTCTCCTGAAATTTCTGAGTATGGATTTCTCATAAAGCAAACAAAAAGCCCCCTTGAGCCCTCAAGACATAGGAGAGCTGCTAGCTTTCGTAGTTTCATTTCAAGGCCACTGTGTTTACTCGAGCTTTGCGGCATAGATGCAACATGGTGGAGCCATCTTTTATGTGTAGCTTTGTTTTCAGATTAATGGTCTGATTTTTTTGAGAAAGAGAAAAGAATTACTCAGGGGAAAAAAAGAATGATCCCTGTAAATCACTAAGAGTAACGAAGAAAGAGACTGGGTGATGACATGGCGGTAGTAACTATGAGCTTCAATGATGGTTCATCGTCGCAGCCCCTTGGTCAATTGTGGTCCACCATCTCAGGTTCAGCAAGGGCGTGTCCTTGCTCAGGTGGACAGAAGCTAGAGTTAAATGGCAGAAAAAAATAAGAAATAGATGGAGAGCATACAGAGGGCACTTTTGAATGAACGAAGATGAGTTTATCTACTAAACGTTGAGTTTATTTCTTAGTTCTTACAGTCAGGGATTCGTAGATCGTAGTAGTCAGAGAACTATTACATTATCCAAACAAAAAATCAATCTTCATATTAGCGTTACATTTTCAGCTTAATTTATCAGTTAGATTGAAAACATAAACAAAGGGCAAAGTAGAATCCTAGGGCTACATTAATTCAAAACGGTGGAAAATTTCCGAGTGCGAAATAGTAGAAACGCAGAAAAGCTTAAATAAATAGGAAGCGCCCCAATAGGCAACCAAAAAATGAACTCAATTCCGAACCAAAGAACTGCATACCTTCGCATGTAGTATTCAGGGAAACTAATATCCATGGAAACGAGGAGAGAAGTTAAAAGAGAGTGAGAGAGGAACCTAATTAGACTGTGACGAAGCAAGCCGTCAGCGTCAGACTGAAAGTGAAGAGTATCAAAGCGCTTGCGTATGATATTTACTGAGTTCGAACCTCCGGCCTCCAAAGAAGCGAAGACAAAGCGAATGGGTTTGGCCGTTTAGGGCGGGTCGGAGAAACTACGGCTAACTAGATCATGGGATCATATTAGTCTTGGGCTCCTTCCATCCCGCGTCGGCCTGTCGAGGATTAGTTGTTTAATGTTTATTTTTATTTTTGGACAAGAGGATTAATTTTTTTATAATGCATATCATCATCAATCATATGAATAAAAAGAAAAAATATTACACTAATAGGATTAATTGGCCCACCAACCCAAAAAAATATTATGTCCAAAAAATAAGAATTAAATTTTTAAAAATTAAAAAGTGTGCCCGGTTCATATTGATATATAAGAATTTATCATTTAAGAGATTTATCATTAAAAATTTATAAAGAACTTAACATTGATATACAATAGTATATCATTAAAAAATATAATAAATTTGCTATAATGTAAAATATAATAAAAGTTAGTTTATTTGTTTAGTTTGATCTTATAACATAGGTTATGTCTACAAAAGCCACATACTAATGTTGGTTTAATACTAGGGGCTGAAGGGCCTTGCTAAAAAAAATATTTATAATTTTTAAGGAATTATATTTCATGTTATGTTTTTAACAAAACAAGAATTTAGACCTCATGCGTGTGATGTGCGAGTATGTTAAGCGTATATTTTATTTGAATGACTTCACTTTAAAATAAAATGAACAAGCGGCACTATAAGATTAGGAAAGTGACATTAAAGAATCAACACATTGAATGAAATTTAAATAGAGATTAAAAGATTTAAAAATCTAAAATAAAGATGTCTTTTAATAAAATGGTTTAAATGCTTACTATTTGACTAAGCAATGAGCAAAAGAGAGAGAGTGAGCAATTAAGGGAGAGTGAGCAATCAAGGGAAAGTGAGTACGAGTTCAAATAATGATACGCTAGCCTACACCCTCTTTAGGGAGGATGACTAAGTTAGCCATTCCTGCAAATGTATTAGCGAACCTTACTTTTACGTCTATGGAAGTTGATGGGAAAACTAATGAGGGTCAATTTGGAAAAAAGAGAGCAAAACATAGTTTGAACCTTATTAGGAAGAATGTTCAACAACTTGAAGGAAAGGGTTCTGAGAAAGCCATCAATATAGAAGTCAGTCAAAACAAACAAAACCTATAATATCATATAAGTCATCCTTAATAGTTAAGGGATGAGACGAGGATACCTTGAAATAGTCATTGGGAGGAAAGGATGAAAGAATGGCTAGAGAAAGAAAAATTTGTCATCCTTAAGTATATTGAAGTACAACGTAGCATCATTAACAAACTACCAGCAATTGATATTTCTGATAAAGCATGGATAAAGTTATGTCTCCCATGAAAAGATGCTTTAGTCATTGCATTGATGGCATAAAGGCTAGGCAAGAAGGCAATGAGAGATAACCTAATTTGTCTATAGGGAACTTCAGCCTTTGAGCTCATAGATATAGAAAATAATTATAATGTTGTCTGTTTTAATGATCTTACAAATGGGAGAAGAATATTATCTAGTTGCATTTTTATGATGTTAGCTTTTTCAAGGAGCTAGGTGATTGTATTGGTAAGACTCTGAAAGTAGACCTCAACACATTAAACTTAGAGAACAAAAACCAGTTAAGAGTGGAAAGAAGACTATTTTCTCGATAATGTCGAAGTATACCTGTGTAAAAGTTTGGATCCTAAAATTGTGGTGTGTGATCAAGTATTTGTAGTTGAGTTATAGGGATTAAATATTATTTTGCTTTAAATGTGGTAGATAAGGGCATAGACAAGAAGACTAGCCTCTGAATAAGCAATCATCAAAACAAGGACATATGCCTTTATCTTCGGCAAAGCATAAATTAGACCCGAAACCACAGTGACTGCTTCTACAATCCTATTAGAAGAGGAATATGGCTCTTAGATGCTCCCAAAGAACTGTACATGATAAGGGACCCTAAAGTTGCAAAAAGTTACAAGCTCAAAGAGATGTCAGGCAGGTAAAGAATACAGAAACAGAAGCTATAAGAGGCATGACATCGAGATATGCTGCTTTGGCCGAGATGGAGGAGCAGATTGATAAAGATGGCAATCACATCAATCAAGGAGAAGGTCAAACTTTGGCCAAAAGGGTGAAAGAAGATAGAAGGGTGTAGATAATGGGAAAGACAAGTTGGCAATTATAGGAAGCATAGCTAAAAGGCAAAATCCTCCTTTGTGTTTGAAAGTACAGTAAGAATTAGAAGCTTAAAAAAAGAAGGAGAAAACAGTAAACAAAAAAAAAAAGAAACATGGAAGTGGAAAAAGTAAAGCAAGCTCGACCCTCAAAAATAAAATAAGTATGGTCCAAATCCTAGCTAGAATATTAGAAGCTTTTAAATCTAATGATCATTATTTAGGCCAAAATGTTGAGAGAGGAAAGCTTGTGAAACAAAACCCAAGGAAAGAAAATGTCACTATTGGCAAAAAGGCCACAATTACAAGACCCACAATTTTATCACCCCTTCAAAAGTGCTTGCAAGCAATCAGAGCCTATAAAGTGGTTATGGGATGCATGTCAGATCAATCCCCAAAGAACACTATGATGCATACAACCCATGAATCTAAAGAGCTTAGTGATGAGGTCAATAGGTTAACTACCTTAAGTGATATAATGAAGTCTAACAAGGTGAAGAATATGAACAATTCTGTTGCTTTTCTCCCACCATATCAAGGTCGTTTGAACAAAGAAGTCAAGGCGTGAGGGATGCCAAAGCTTTAACTCAAAGGAATCTCAACATCGAGTTGTTAGCATTAGAAGAAGCTACAGATGAAGACTATTATGTCGAGTGTAAAAAGGAAGACTACATGTTAGGTGTGAACACCCTATTTTGTCCGGACCCCCACAAAAAATAAATAAATAAAATAAAAAATTGAAAAGCCTATTTTTAGTAAAATAATAAAAAAATTAAAATTAATAAATAAGAATTAATTGAAAATCTCCAAACAAGCCTTAATATGAGTCTTCAATTAGGGAAATGAGATGGAGATTCAATCCCTAAAATTGTGCCTTGATTTAAAATAGTGAAAATCAAATAAAATTAATAAAATTGTGATTTGATAAGATTCAATCATTAAAGATGGAAGCACTAATTCTCATCTATAAAAGGGTAGAGATCAAGGTGAAAAGAGAACAGAAAGAAAGAAGGAGGCAATAAAATAAGGAGCTTGGGAGATTTTACGAAAGAGGTAGAGAATGATCATTTGTTCTCTTATATCATCTCCACTCATCATAATATGGGGTTAAGAATGGCTAGAGATACCCTAAATAGGGTAATATCAATAGCTCATTATCCTATAATACCCTAAGAAAAGCCAACCCTCTTATTTGGGGATCACATGTGTGATCTTTAAAAATATTAAAGGCTGAAGGTACAGGATGAGTATTGATTTAGATGCTCTTTTTTATTTTCATTTTTTCCTTCAAAAATTTCTGTGTGCGTATGTGTTTATATGTATATATATATCCCTTGGGTGCTTTGGGTCAAATTTTTCCCTTCTTATTGAATCATTCATTTTTTTTTTCTTTTTCTTCTTTCCTTCCCCACCACATTTTGAATTTGATTTCTCAAAGCATGTTTTTTCCCCTTTCATTTTATGGTGCTAGATGTGCATATCTCCTTTCTATATGTATATATTTGTGTGTGCTTTTCATTCCTCTCTCCTTTTGATTTTAATTTATTATTTCCTTCTTAAACTTTATTTCCTTTACTTATTTATTTATTTTCCTCTCTTGTTTCCTTTTCTTTGTTTTCTTTCTTTCTCTAGCACGTTTGAATTTGATTTCCTAGGGTACATATTTTTTCCCTTTCATTTTGTAGTACTGGACATGCATGTCTCCCTTCTATATGTATATATTTGTGTATGCTTTCCATTCCTCTCTCCTTTTGATTTTGATTCAATATTGCCTTCTTAAATTTTATTTCCTTTATTTATTTATTTATTTTTCTCTCTTGTTTCCTTTTCTTTGTTTTCTTTTTTCTTTCGCCTCTTAATCATTTTAACCACCAATATCAGTTTTTTTTCCTTTTTTCTATCCCAAGTTTGGCTTTTCATTCATGTAGGTAAAAAAATAAAAAAAATACATGTGTGTGTGTGATTTTGTTCTAACAACCATACATACGCTTGAGCATATGTGTTGGTTGGTTATTACTTTTGTTATAAGATGGCAATGATTGGAATAATCATCTAAATTACAACAAGTGGTAAAGCCCCCTTAGGTTTGATCTCTTAGTTTTTTTTACAAGCTATTTATATTATTATACCCCTTCTCTAGCACACACTGCACCGTATGATTTAAAACTTTTGTGTGAATTGCTTTTAGTTATACTGTGTGAGATTTGTAAAGTCTCCGTAGGTAATTAGCCAATTGGTGTGTCGTGTGTGGCAATTGGCCATCACAGGCACGCTAGTCATGATGCTTAATTGATTTGTTTTAACCTTTTTTTTAAAGGAGCCCTTTTTAATATAAATATAAATAGGTCAAAAAATAATTTCTATGCCATGTGAGATTTTAGAATCTCCACAAGCATGAAATAAATTAATTTTCGTGTGGATTTTGTGACTCTCCGCAAGAATTTGAATTTATTTTATTTAAAAAAATCCTTTCTCAAATAAAGAAATAAGATTTTTTTTCTAATTAAAAGATACCAACCCAATTTAAAAACCCTTTTTGAAAAAAATGAAAAATTCCTTTTCTAAAAAATACTAACAAACCGATACGCATTTTTACCCTCAAACTACGTGGGCTTTGATCTCTCTAAAGGGTACATAGGCCCTAGGATTTTATCCTAGGTTAAGTCCAAACTTGTAAATAACTACTTTTTATTTATTTGTTCTTCTCTTTTTTTATTAAGGGTAATTAAATTTCATTTAAGGCTATATTAATTTTGTTTAGTCAATTTTGGATAATCGTTCTTATAGACAGGTGATGTGGGATGCCTAACACCTTTCCCACATACAATTAACTCCCGAACTCTATTCTGGTTATTATGGACCATTTTATTTTTAAGAAATTTTCAAAATTATCCTTTTAA